CATTTCAAACATTTCCTGTGAGTTGAAAGATCTTCATTCACGACACTTCGACATGTAAGCCGAGAATCCTCAGAAATCATGACGTTGACCCCTTTTCTGACAACAATATATCAGTTTCAGTTCTGAAAGGACAGGAGGCTTGATGGTCTGTGTTAGTCCTGGCAATGGTGGTCTCTCAGTTGATCCAACTTTCTTTTGAAAGAGTCGACGGATGGAGCCTCAACCACGTGCTGAGGTGGTCAATTTCGACTCGTTGATGATTCGATGGGAAAGTCGATAGTCAGCTGAAAAGTAATTTGTTCTCGGCTTGTGAACTGTTTGGAGTGTCCTCGTAAATTCTCTGTTTTGGAAGACAAGAAAAATGAGGGCATATCAGGTTCAAATTTATCACTAAGCAATTTGTAGACTGTAATCAAGTCACCTCTAGTTCTATAATATGACAACAGGAAAAGGTTTAGCTTGGCCAGTTCAGCATCATACGGAAGCTTCACTATTCAGGGAGTCAGCTTGGTTGCTGTTCTCTGAACCTTTTCCAGAAGCTCGCTGTGTTTTTTTAAGCAGGGACTAGCCACTTGTATGCAGTACTCCAGTTTAGGACGTACGAACACTGTATACATGGTCAACAACGTTTTCGTGTCGACATGACCACCACCAACCAGATGACTAGAAGCCCTACGTATTGACCATAAGGTTCTAGAACTTTTGGCGGCTGTTGCACGGCAGTGTGCAGTAGTGTTTAAGTCTTGGCTAACGATGACTCCTAATTCATTATGTGTCTGGACGACAGGTAGCTCAGTGTTATTCATCGTGTATGTATCTGTACCTTGATGACCGATATGCATAACAACACACTTGGAAGTATTTGTCGGCAACTGCCAGGTTTAAAACCATTCAGGTCATCATCCTTAAATCGTATCGTTCTCCATATCTTGACATCTTCAGCCTATAACAAGAACGATGATGATGGGAGACGAGAAAGGTACACTAGGGTAATCCACTAAGCACATTTTCCCAGCTAGATAATTTTGAGTTCACCCGTACTATTTTTTGGCGTCCAACTAAGAAGTCTTTTATCCACATTAATAGATTGTCGCCAATTACGACAATTCTTAGATTATATAACAGCCGGTTATGCGGAACTTTGTCAAAAGCTTTGCTGAAACTAATGTAGCCTACGTTTACTTTTGGTCCTTGATAGTGCACCAGCTTTCACGAGCGACTAATAAGTTAGTGAGACAAGAATAACCTATTCTGAAGCTGTGCTGTTTCTCCGAGAGCATCCGGTTTTCATCGAGGTACTTAAACAGCTTCCGAATATTCTTTTCTAAGATTTTAACAACTATACTAGTTAAGCTAACGGGTCAGTAATTCTCAGGTTTATGTTTTGTACCTGTTTTTAAGACAGGAATTACTGTGGCGTTCTTCCAATATTTTGCTAAACGACCCTGCTTTACGGATAGGTTAAAGCATATACGAAGTTAGATAATTTCTTCAGTAGCCTGAGATGCAATTCATCGGGCCCCGTGGATTTACCTATATCAAGCTTATTTAGCAGACCAAAGACATCGAGTTCTTTAATGGTCACGCTATCCAGTGTAGGGGGATTTGTATGCGCTGATGGGAAGAGTGCTTTTATGGTATATACATTGCTAAAGTAGTTCGAGAACACGTGAGCCTTACCAAAGTCGTCCTCTACTAACGATGTGGCAGTTCTGTCTCCCTCTAGTTCAGGAATGTTTCTTCTTCTTTTTTGTCCTCTGATTTATGTAAGAATACAAGCGTTTGGGACAATCTATGGATTCCTTAACAATTTTTTCTTCGTACAACTTTCCAGACTTACGGAGGGTCGAGGCACAGGTATTCTGAGCTTTCGATACTGCGATTTTGTCTCATCAGTATCCAATAACCTAAATCTATCCCACATTTTTCTTCTCTTACAGAGAAGGATGCGGACCTCCCTACTGGGCCGTGATGGAGAGTTTCTCAGCCCCCTTGGTGTTGTCCAAAGTATGTGAGGTGCGGTAACTTTTAAGTATAAATTTCGAAATGCGTCCCAAGCCATTTCAGTTGAAGACTCTGGGTCTATTGTCCAATTTACTAACGATGTTGAGTGCATGATATCTGGTATGTTTGCTTTTCAGACGTTAGGTCTGGATTGAGCTCTCGCGTGCTCCTGATTGACAGTTATATTGAAGTCGAAAGTCAAAACTGCGTGATCACTTTTACCTAGGGGCGGCAACATCATCCTCATAGTGAGTCAATATAAGGTCAAGTAAGGATGATTCAGTGTCCGGGTCGTACGTATTCGCTTCTCTCACATGTTGCACTAGGGCACATGTGATAACCGCATCAACTAGTTCTTGCTCGAAGGAATTTTCTGACGATTCAGTTCGCAGATTTTACCAGTCTACCATAGGTGCATAAAAGTCCCCTAAGATTAGACATCGACCACTTTGTGACCAAGTATTGAGACTGCTTAGCAGGACCTCATTTACCTCACAGCTTAGACCATAATAGACCAAATCAATCAGCAGCTCTTGTCCCTTGCATTTCAAGCGGCAGCTATCTATCCACTTTCACGACATACACTGTCGATAATGGCGAGTGGGATGATATTCCTAATGAAAAGAGCTGATCCTCCTTCTTTACGCTTTTGTGTTCTGTCTACCCTTACTAACGTAAAACCCTGGAAATCAAGTTCCATACTATCTATCGACTGTGTCAGCCAGGTTAATGTGACTGCGATTTATCTGGCTTTGTAGAGCCAATCTGCACACCTAGTTCCGATCGCTTATTGAGTAAGCTTCGGGCATAATTGTAACAGATCCGAAGCCTATTTAAGTAGCTTTGTGCTTCACCCAGAGTGGCTTCGGCATCATTCTCTGTCGAAGCTTTACAACCTGAAAATTTACAATTTTTATGTCCTTTTCGCCAGCGTCTAACCCAAGTTGCAGTTCTTTTTCGGCTTCCCGTGTTTTTACACAGTCTGCCAACTGCAAGTCTTTACGGAACAAAATTCTGAATCCTTTAATTTATGTTCATTCTGTAAAACTAAGTCGCGTTCATTCGAAAATTTGAATACTACTTTAAATAGTCTGGATTGATTAGGCCTGTACATGGAATATCTGGACAATGTGCGAGACCGGCAGAATCAGTCAACTAGGAGCTTAAATGAGAAGATACAACTTATTAGCGCTCGAAATAAGTGAAATTCATCAGACATAAACTGTACAGAAAAGATTAGATTCAGAAGTGACGGTACCTTTGATCACGAAAAAGACAACGATTTACACCCAAGGGCTAACAACGATGATACAGAAATAAGCACGAAAAAGAACCACAGAGTAAGAATCTCATAGATCTAGAATCATCGGAGCATTCTTCAAAGCAAAGAAGGATGGGACCACAATGAATGGTATCTGATATACGAACTCACTAATAGTAGCGATAGAAACATTGAATATCAGTCCAATAGAAGACTGCAGCCAATCGTAAAGGAGTGGCAAAAATTGGATTCGACTGTCTTCATGAGGGAACCAAATCCCATGGTCAGGGTGGACAGCTCCAGTGATGAGGATATCACGTAACAGCATTTACTATGATAAAAGAACAACGATAGTGGGGGATTTCCGAATTTATATGCTTTCAACAAAGTGATTATAACTGGTATTATATTCCTGCACCAACGCATACACAAAGCTAAATGGGTGTGAGAGGACCACATAACTGAGAATAAGATCGATAATATTTGTATCAATACAACGTTCAGATGATCCATGAAGGAAGAGAGAATCAAGAGAGGAGCTGACACAGCTTAATATTACCACCTAGTTGTGGCCAAGATGAAATTGAAGCTGAAGGAACACTGAACAACTGAACAGATGGCAGTACAAATGTTCACTACAGCCCTCCTTTGGCATACTCACTAACCTAACGGATTCAAGAGAACTCTCAACAGCAGGTTCCAAGCCTCGCAAGATCTCACACAAGAAGGAACTACTAAAGAGGACAACTGGAAAAGGATCAAAGAAGCATTAACTTCAAGGTATCAGGAGGTTCTAAGTCAAAAGAAGCATCATGCTAAGGAACGGATATTCGTCTAAATCCTGGGTAAGATTTAAGAAAGGAAGAACAAGAAGATAGCAACTAGCAAAAGCCGAACACGAGTAGAGGAAGTCAAGGCCCACATTGAATACACGGAAGCAAACAAGCAAGTGTAAAAAAGAATTGTGGTCGACAAGCAGATATATGTCAACTATCTAGCAATGAGAGTGGAAAAGATTATAAAAGAAGGAACTATGAAACAGCCATATGACACGACGAAGAAACTAACAGGGAAATATGTTGCCAGCCAGAGAGACCGGTCAAGGACAAAGAAAGCTAACCAGTCACTGAGATTTAAGAACAGAGGAACAGATGGGTAGAACACTTTGTAGAACTCCTTAATAAACCAGATTCACTGAGTTCGCCGGAAATCGAAGTAGATTCTACGAACCTTACTCTAAATGTCACTCCACCAACGATTAGAGAAATCCAGATGACCATTAGGCAAATCAAGAGAGGGAAATCAGTCGAACCAAACAATATAGCAGCTGATGCACTGAAGTCAGACATTGAAGTAACTGTAAAAATGCCCCACGTTCTATTCAGGAAAATATGGAGGGAATAAAAAATGACAACATGCTGGAAAGAAGGATACCTCACCAAAATAAAAAAAGAAAGATGTGAGCAAGTGTGAGAATGGCTGTCGGTACTAGAGGAAGTTTTGTACGTAGTGTTGCTGAACCGCATGAAGGATTCAGAAGACGTACAAGTCATGTACAAACCAAACCGTGATCCGGTGGGTCATTGTTGAACAAGCAACTGAATAGAAATGATCACAACCTACAATCGTACGTAACCAAATACACGCAACAGTCACGAAACAGCAAGAAGTGAGCACAAATAAATCAATCGGCTTATTCAAGTTCGTGACAAAGATGTTGGATGTGTTGGTTACTATTGCAAGTGCGCACATTGTAAATAGGTGTGCTACTAGGAAATGAATGTGAGTTGTGAAGCATCTGTATTGTTCCCACAACTATAAAATAGTTAGGACTCTCAGTACCAACTAATTATCTGAATGTTTTATTAAGGTTTATACCACTCAGTAGCCTTGGTGTGTTCTCATTTCCCAAATAAATAAATAAATATATATATATATATATATATATATATAGCTTATAATACTTAAGATGAAATTTTCAGTTCGCTAGCAATATGTAAGGAGTGGTCTGTGCTGCTGGATGAGTATTCATACTCTACATTTCCTGTTGTATTCCAAACCCTGTCATTAAGTAACTTTATGCTACCACAAAGTTTAGTTGATAACTTAGGTAGGGAAGTTTGTGACATTTCCTTCAAATTCAACTATCGAAACAACAAGCAATTCTCATTTTCTATAAAGTATATTAGTGTTGAGTTGAATATGAATTAATAATATGACACAAATCCTCAAATGTCGGCTTATCATTCAGTTATATGCAAATTAAAACATAAGGCATCTGTATACCAGTCCAAGTCGCCTCACTTCACGAGCACAGACAAGTGGAGTTTTCAAAAAATCCTAGGTTGGTAGTGAAAGAGATTATGCATCTTAAACATTATTCTAAAAAAACCCTACTTTTTAGTGGGTTAAAAATATAGTTTCCTGGCCATATCGCCAACTACGCTTATGTGAATACCTTCTGAAATGTAATACAAGCGGAAATTAAGAGGATATATATCAGAGACGATGATGATCCGTTAGTAGTAGTAAGTTTTTGTATTTGGGTAATTGTGTAAATACTGCCAGTGGAGTGATTAGTGAGATTATTCTACGTGCAGTGAGAGCTGGTGGTTTATACCAGTCCCAGCTATCTTTGGTACCGTTGTGTAGTTAGTCTGGATGTAAAATGTCAGATTTACAAAGCTTCGGTTCAAGTTTTGCTCTGTGTTTGTAAAACTTGACCCCTTAGAGTTGGAGATGTCAGAAAATTCTGTGTTTGGTGATCGTTTTCCCCGGAGGATTAGTGATATCCAGTGATCATTGCGTTGTCATTTCATTATTCATAAGTGTGATGAAACTTTAACTGAAAGAATTCTGCTGAACTGTTTCTCGTATCGTATATTGTTCATGTTGATTTTTTTGACTTATTTTTCCTCGTAAAAGGTGTTTCTGTTTTCTCATAACGTTACTTATATTTTGTGTTATGCATTTTATTCTTGGTGACTTAATTTACTATGTATCATATGAAATAAAATAAATCACAATGTGACGCTATCATATTTCAACACTTCATGTCTTATCAACTAAAGTGATCATATTGAATCAAATGAGTAATTTTTTTTCAGTATCGTAGTTCGAATCTAACTTAAAAACCGTGTGAGGCCGACGGCTTTTCAATAAGCTCTCATACATTGTGGCTCTCTCCAAATAAAGAGCCTACGGTTCTTGTGTATCTTAAATTCACTATGCTCACAACCGTATCAATAGAACCACCTTTGTACTTACTAACCTATGGTTTCATATGCTATTGCGAACCATTACTGGTAAGCATCCTGAGTGAATGTTTTGTATGAATCGTACTATATTCCTGAATTTAACTTCAGATGTTACTCTAGATCGGCATGTGTTTGTAGTTCGGTTGTTTTTTGAATGAAGTATACTTAAGTGGGGTCTTTATATATTGACTTAACAAAAAAAGTTGCTCACAAATATCGTTCTCAATGTCATGTTACTGCGAAGCACAGTTTAGACAAATGCTTCTGCTAATACATGATAAATATATCATATATCCCATATCCCATATACGGCGATAAATATGGGTGTAGGTAGCTATTTTAGCACGGATTTCTGCTGCAGTATGCCTCAATGTGCACAAGGGAGAAATTAAAATCTGGAAATATAACGGAGTGTGCAGCAGATAAATGATACTTGATGGAGAAGCTTGGAAGATGTAGAAGGTTTTATGTACTTGGGCAGAATTGTAGTTAAACAATATAATGTAATGCACATTTGAGGGCACGGACTTGCAAAGCAAGGATAGCTTCTACAACACCAAAATTAAGATTTTTAGTGCAAACGTCAAAACAGCTCTACTTCACGGAGTTGAAACTCGGATAACTACGATAATCATTGTCCGGAAGGTACGGGTATTTATAAGCAGTCATCTACACAAGACACTTCAGATCCGTTGGCCAGACACTGTCAGCAACAACTCGTTGTAGCAGAGAACAAGCCAACTTCTAGCTGAATATGAAATTACGAAATCACGCTGAAGGTGGACAGAACATATATCGCATCACAAGGCAAGCCGTAACTCGAAATCTTGGACGTGGAAGGAAAAGAGGACACCTAGGGTAACATCACATTGCGAATCGGAGGTATATATATTGAAAAAATAAATAATACTTGGCGACAATTGTAAAGGAGAGCCCAGGATAGATTTGTTTGGAAATTCCTGTTTGGAGGCTTGTCCTCGACGAGGGGTAACAGGCATAAGTAAGTTTATTGGTTTTAAGTGATCTGAAGTCGCATTCTTTTCATTACTACTGACACTATTAGTACTACTATTCTAGAATTTATTGTGATAATTTTTTCTACTTCTGGTAATGTGGTATGTGAACTTGAATGGGACCACATATGTTCTTTATTTACAGAATCCTCACTAATTACCGCTAATTTCATTTTGTTTACTTTGCCACAGGAACTTGAACAGCTGGAATACTTTTGCAGAGAACTATATACAACTAGTGATCCGGAAATCCGTAGTCAAGCAGAAAAAGCTTGTTCTTCCTTATGTGAACGGGCTGATTGTCCTTCTATATGCCAGTTACTTTTACAGCATTCAACTGTAAATATTTCATTATCATTGCTTTTAATTTGTCTAGTCGTGCTACTCACAGCTTATTGCTTCTACGGCTTTGACTAAATATATTTCCAATCGAGATGCTATAATTTCACATTCATCACGTTTAGCTATTCGTGAGTTTTTTACTCCATTCATCTTATATGTTTCTTAAACAGGAGATTTTGCTTTAAATTATCTAGCTGCGCATGCTGGATTAGAAAAATTCGTACAACAAGCCTTAATCACACTTATTTGTCGGCTAACAAAGTTGGGATGGCTAGATTCAGTAGACGGTAGTCCTGGATTTTGTGATATTTTGGACTGTGCGTCAAAGTTTATTGAGGTAAGTAAACTCTTTAAAGCTGCGAATATAAATTTGAAACAGTTAGCATTTAACATTAGCGGAAAGTTTTTTAATTCGAACTAGCGTTCTTCTTTTTGAAACGATTACTAGCGTCTTATTAACAGATTCAGTAGTTAGCCCGACAGTGCACATATACGATGGAATTAGGACTCATTTACAGAACCTGAGGTTTCTGAGCAATTATTTGGTTCTTAAAGCATTCAGTAGTGATGGTGTAAAGTAATATTTAGACCGAAGCTATTATCATGGCGCGACGGTATGTTCATGTCTGTCGTGAAGAACTAATCGAGCTACCAAACGAAACAGGTTGGTTGGATGGGTGGATAAGACTGCAAGCAATAAACTCGAAATCCGAGGGCGACGTCGTATTCCAACTCCACAGGAGTGTAAAGTCGGTAAGATATTTTCATCACATAGTAGAAATATGCAGTTGTGCTGCTTCCTCAACACAAAAGGAACACGTTAAAAACGACCCTCTTTTAAAATATGATGTAAGCAGTTCATTTTAATAAAAATGCACCCATAATTTCTTTTCTTTGGGGAAGTTTATCTCATCCTAATGGAGAAAGTAGAATAAATTTACACAGGACTCTGATAATGTCTCAAGGTACTGTGTTCCGATATCTCTAGGACCCCAACTAGAAAGCATTAAAAAACCTACAGAAATTATTCCTATATAGCTTTCCACTGTACCGCGGCACCACATCATACATTGACCACCTCTCTGCTTTCTCGAATCAGTTCCAGCCTCGGCACATAAAGCACGATATAGATTTTTCTGGGACGACATGCTTAGTACATCTTCAAGCCTCTAATGTTGGTGTTTCGAAATTGTGACAATCGAATTATCGTCACTGCGCCCGTACACACGTTACCGAATCTCAGCATCTCTGACAGTGTTTTCACTGACGTGTTGGTATATAGGGCCTTCGAGATGTTAGTATACTTCTAAAACACACCTTTCTTCAGCAAACGGTCCCAAAGGACAGTTTTCCAGCGAAACGAAGCTGTCCTGATACCGCGAAACAACGGTTATTGGCCTGCAATAAGTATGGTGGCTTCCTAACACTTGATGGAAAGTAAAGACGAGATCAATACATTCTCGAGCAGAACGAAAAGTAACCTGATTCTCGCGAGTCAACCTTTTATTGGTTTGCAACAACCTGCAAAGTATGACGAAGGCCAACATTGTGACGACTATCGACTCGTTCTAAAATGTTAGGACTCTAATTGCCGAACTTTTGCAGACAGCTTAGTCCTACGTTTGGAAGGTTGCACCATGTTTAACAATGGCCTTAAGTCATTTGGGCTTGGTTATTTGTGGCGCATCAGTAGTTGGACTTCTGCCTCGTTAGATGGATCACTCGATACTGACTAGTGAGAACAGAACAGTCTTGAGATGATGGAGAAGATTTGCATTTCAAGTTTATGACCTCATGTAGATGAAGTTTGTGCTAATGATGTCGTTTTGAAGAACGATGAAAGCTCCACGATCAAACCATCCAGCTCAAAGAACAAAACTCCATCAAAAACAGAACGGTCTGATTGATTCCTTCGGAGCGACAGATTAGCTGAACTGTTCCCTGGAGAACTTCAACCATCGTCCGTGCAGTGTGTGGATGTAATTGCTTAGCGTCCTATCAGCTTCATACGCCAACAAAACAAGACGAAGATGATGTTACAGCGACTCGGGATCAAGACACGTGAAACAAATTCTTCGAATCAGCAACTGGAGAGCTGGTGTGTAGTACTTGACTAGAGTGTTGAATGCGTGTTTTGGATAGATGAGTTATCGATGTTAAAGCTCTGCCAAGATATAGCCAACCCTATCTGCTACACGATGTCCGTGAGTGTGCAAACACTGAAGGAGTCCAGTTTGAATGGCATACGAAGTTTCTGAAAATATGTATCAAGAATCGTATTCGGTGATAGCATTAAACTTCCGACCGGTCGGTGACTTCAGATCGTTTAGATTGGACAGGATTTCTACTATAAGCGAGCTGTTATGTGGAAAAAAGGCGTGAAGCGAGCTTGTGTGTAATTAAATACTTGCAGTAGTCGTTTATGTAGACAGTGATAGTGAATCTTAACATACTCTATTTTTAATTATCTTGTTAGTTGTGTGGGCTAAGATATTGCACTGGTGTAAAGACCGAAGCAGGTGATTTTCTCGGGGAGCACTCTGATCTTTTGACCCATAATGTTTAGTCCATAAGTCATTGGAGCAACGTTGTGAGATGCGATCCCAGAGTAGCTTTTGACAACTTGCTTCTCTTGTGATGTTTGCGAAATGTCCGTCTGCTAACGTAGGAGCAGGTGTACTGCACAAGAGTTCACTGTTTTTATTTGCGGCTGTGAAACAGTGTTTAAACGTCGGGGACACTAGTTATCGTCGTTGATTATATGTTTCTTACAAGCATATCCAGCGTATTGTGTGGTAAAATAAACAATTCTGTGGTTAGACACAAGGCGATAGATAAGGATCAAAAGTGGTTGATGTGGTTGTAAATCTTCATCGACTGAGGACACATGTATTACGCATGCTCGATCACCGTCTACTTTGATATCCTATGATGGTATGTGTAGGAGTAGATCGGAGGAAGGCTAGAAACTGTCCAACTAAAAGATTACATCCGTTTATGAATTTACTGACTCTTTAACTTGATTGCGTAGCTAGGTCCAGACTATCTGATTGTAGTCTTTGAGGTAAATTCGATCAGTTTTTGTAGATGTTGAATGATTAAGTTAATAATTAGTCATTGACGCAGATTCTTGCGCTTTCTATCTTCCTACGGATCTTGAATTTCAGTATTAACTTATGTGTACTTCTTTATTCCTTCTCCTCAAACTATATTCTTATTGTTTAGTCTTTTCAACCTTCAGTACTACCATAGTTGATTTTGAAACCCTGACTTTTCATTTTGTCCGTTTCATCCTATATTTCTGATGTGATTTGGCTAATTAAGATAATGAACATTTCTCATGCTCTACATTCATTATAATTGACTGATTAGTAATGTTACTTGATCACTACTTGATCCCACCCGTTTCTTTTCTTATTGCTATATTATTTAGTCAATTCCAATCAAAAGTTCGTTTTGCATTTCTTCCTGAAAAATCATTATATATTAGCGTATTTGTACAATATTCATGTTAGTTCTTTTTGCTTTTAATCGTTTCCAGTGCGGTCAAACAAGCGCAATTCTTACTGGAGTGCAGATACTCAATAATTTAGTTTCGGAAATGAATCATGATTGTGAGGTAAGTTTTTGTTAGAGTGTATAGAAGTATGTTTCATTGTTGTTGCATATTACTCCAAATTATATCTTACCAGTAATCAGATTCAAGTCCTCCTAGTTTCAGAGCGATCCCATCATCTTTAAGTCATTGGGTCGGGATCTAGTGGTTCACAACCCCAACTTCCAATCTGTTTGTAATAAAGTATGACAGTCATCCCATGCCTCCGCATATGACTAACCACCGTCCAATCCCTGATGCAGGAAATTTTCTAACTAGGTCGAATAAATGTCCGCTTTCCAAAAGCTCTATCCCATGTCATTCTATAATGGAAACAGTTAGCAATCAACGTAGATTTTCTGCATCTATTTTCAACCTTCGGTTTGTTGGCGTCTGCTGGGATAATCGGGTAAGTAATAGTGAGGTTAGACGCAGGGTATTAGGAAAGGATGGTAAATCAGTTGATGAGGTTATGAATCTTCATCGACTGAGATGGTTGGGCCACGTGTTACGTATGCCTGAACACCGATTACCACGACGTGCAATGCTATCCGGTGTTGGGGATGGTTGGAAGAAAGTTAGGGGCGGCCAAACCAAAACGTGGCATCAGTGCTTGAAGTCACTAACTTCTAGTCTGAGCCATGTTGGTAGATGCAGACTACTTGGTTGGGGTCCGCGTGACTATCGTAACCAATGGTTGGAGACTCTTGGTGACATGGCTCAGAATCGATCACAATGGCGTCGGTGTATACACTCGGTTTCTTCCCTTAAACTAAGAGATTAAAAGCGCTTCATATCTTTCTTTCTACTAACCAATTCTTTCTTCTTGTACTATATCTCTATATGCAATCTTTCTCTTATATATTACCACCTTTTACCTAACCACTGTTATGAATCCGGTGTTCATCTTGTTGTGCTGATGCGGTATGGCAACCTGGACCGATGCACATAAGTGCATGGTTCTACGTTGTAGCTGACTGACTGACTGACTGAGATTTATCGAATATTTGGAATTTTTTCAATGATATAACGTTGCTCGCAGTTGACAAGTTTTAGTTAAATATTCTGATAATGAATATGAGTTGTTCCCTGATGGTGTACTAGGCAGTTTTTTTTTTACAAAAAATTTAAATCCTATCGGAAGACAACATATGCATCTGAATTCGAATTCATAAGTTTCTGTATACTTTCAAACGATGCTCTGGGAAATCAGTTTGATTAATGAATGAATTACGTGCTACTAGCTGACAAGCCTTATTTAGCTCACTTTATTATAAATATAACCTTTTTAACTGTGAAAATCACACGATAAGAAATGTATAGTCATATGTTAAAACGAACATCTTAGTATCTGTCACTTTTGATCCGGAAGTCAATCAGTCAAAACTTAGAAGCTGTACGTATGTCCATGAAGCTGTCAGACGGAATTCATGAATAGTCGAGGTAGTGTAATGAACGAAACTCAGGTGCGGACAAGCAATTTATCATTTAATGCCAAATTACAGAGTTCTTTCTTAAAATGCGAAAAGCCATACATTGAATACTTCATTTGCAAATCTTCTATCAATTGTCTCGAATTTCAATGTTCCTTCATTGCTATAACGATTACTCTTTGTTTACATTCCCGTTCCATTCAATTCAATCTTCTCAACCTTCCGCTGTCAGGTATTCCATTTCTGACTGGTGTTACATACTGCTTATGTTGACAGATATAAGTATCACACACCACAGTAGCAACAGTGTCAGTGGTAATAGAAAAGACTAGGTATTGACGGTACGGCTCTCAAAAGATGTATTCATTAGCAATATTCGTAATATTAGCTTATTATCCAGTGTGATGAGTTTTCACATTGTTTTTCATATTATTTCCTTCATTATCTTTGTTTCCGCCTAACCTCCATTTACTTAATTGGCCGTGTGTTTTTATATATAAATGTTGTTAACGTGTAATCAAGTTGTTTGTAATGTACTTACGCTAATCTATCATATAGTTTTGGTAATCTTCGTCTTCTGATTACACTATCCAAATTTATCGAAGGGACTAATTACCATAAATAAATAAGGGAAATAAAAACCAAAAAAATGTTATGAAGAATTTAGAATCTCAGAATTTGGGAGAAGACAAAGAATGGATGCACCTGGGCCATTGCGAACGAATTTGAGCGATGTCATTCAAGGTCTCTAACCATTCGTTACGATAATCATGCCGCCCACAAACAGGTAGTCTACATCTATTAACGTGGCTCAGTCCAGTTTTCAATGACTTCATGGTTTCGGTTTGACCGCCCTTAGCTTTTTCTCCAGCCTACTCCTAAACCAAAAAAATCATACATCAAGGTCGGACATACATAACACTACCTAACCACCTCAGCTGATGAAGATTTACTAACTCACCAATTGATTTGCCATCCTTACACAGTGCCCTATTCCTAACTTAGACATTGCTTACTCCGTCCCAAAATACACGAGCGACGTTCCGAAGACACCTACAGTCGAATACTAGTAAACTTCAAATATCCTCTATTCCTAAAGAGCATGTTTCATGTTCATAAAGTAGAACGGAGACAAATGCTGCACAGTAAACTCATCTTTTGGTTTGGAGACGTATTTATCGCCTACTCCACAAGTGACACATGTTGGGAAAAGCCAGTCGAGCCTTCTGAATCCGTGCTGAGCTTTCGTCAAACACCAGCCAGTTAAAACTGATGAGACTCCCAATATGAGTAAAGTGGTTGATGCGTTCAACTTTGTCTGAGCTGCAGTCAGTGGGAGCGTGAGCATAGACAACGAAAAGGCGATGGTATGAGTCCATATGTTTTTGAGTTTTTACTGTCCAGTTTAGTCTGGGAGCGTATGACCGACTATCTATTTTGATCAGCCTAACAGTGGCTGTTGTGCTATTGAAATTAATGCTATCCCTACCACAGTGGGATCTCCAGATACTCGACGGTTAAATCGTACAAGATCTTCATATTGACAAGGTTAGGTCAAATGAATGACTATTTCGGTCCTGTTTTGGCGTTCCAAAGACACAGCATACATCGATGGTGCGAGATTCTCGAGTTGTAGGTAAAGAGGCCAGTTGTTTTATCTGACACAAGGTTCGAACAGTAAAAGCTCCAACATGTAGTTTTGAGCTTGGTTTCAGAAGACCAAGAATAACATTTCGTGAACTCAGATCATCAATACTGGTAGTGCGTGGTAATAAAGATGTGTGAGAAGAATTAGTCGTGTGGATGAAATAATTATTAAGAGGTGAGAAGTTTTGTTGGATGTATTAGGGTGGTTGTCACTTTCAGGCTGCCCCTACCGTAGAAGGATATTTCTGCTTAAGAAACCTAATAAGAAGCTGAACTAGTGGTGGTCTTAGTGACGGAGGCGGAAATCTGTTGGATAAGACGTGACATCTTCAAGGTCATCCTTTTTCTGACCTGACTGGCATGGTAGGACTTAAAGAGCATACGTTCCAGCCAATATGGATCGGTTGAGATGTCGTGATTGACTACGTCAAGGTAGCATCTACGGTCAGAAACCGGAAGTAAATGAAACGTTCTATGAATTATAATGGGACTTCTAGCAATAGCTGAAATATTCTGTAAAGGAACTACAAACAGCGTTTTGCAACAACTTATCTTAACTGTCACGAACTTTTATAAGGACTTACTTACCCTCATGTTTTACTTCAAACTGTTGATACCTATCTAGTTTTTGATAATCTTGTTATCATTTCAGAGGAAGGTTTTTCGAAATGTTCTAAATCAATTTTCGGAAGAACCTTCTAGTTTAAATCACGTTACTGTACTTACAATATATAATGTTAGCTAACCAGGGATCGAAAAATAGGTACACCTTAGTTGTTGTCCACTCTACCTCGTAGTAGCTAGTTGCTTGAGTAACATTTTTGTTCTTTGTATCCTGAGAAGCTGAACACCTGCACATACAGTCACTAATACAGGCGTGTCTACGTAATGATACGCCTTTTTGCTAAGGCCTTTCTCAAGCTTCATTTGATACGGTTGTCTAATTCTTGTCTCATTAGGTCAACCGTGATGATGTTGCATCGGTTTATCAGTGCCTTGACTCAGTTCAATAGAACATCCAGCTTGAGTAAAAATGGTTGTGTTTTGGAATGATATTAAAACCCTCTCCATTAATCCATCCTGAAATATTTTTATTTGGTATCATTACAGCAATAATATATCCATCCACTACCAAACAACCATCCGACTTTGAACTTCAATGTTATTTTCATGTATATGGTTTAAATTCGTAATCGGTTACATCATATTCAAAGACCTTTTTTACTTTTTCATATAATTTGATAACTTAATACACATTTAAATAATATCCTATATTTTCAATAAAACCAACAACTTTTCATAAGTTATGGTTTGCAAAGCTCTATTTACAGACTTCTATCATGTTTAACACCACGGTTCAAATATTACATTTGAACTGAGGCTGTGCACTTTAGTTAGAAATTATGCATTTAGACTATTCTTTCGTGAAATATAACTGGGGCTCAATTTGTTGTAAAATGAAATAAACATTTCTGACAGCTGTCAGGTAGTTCCGTTCCAATTGAAACTACGGGTATTTGTAATCAAATAAAATCCAAGTAGTATATATGCTCAATTGCATAGTGGTCGGGCCCCCGAATGCCCTAGTACGGCCGAGAGTGGGGAGAGTCCGCTCTCCTTCTCGAAATACTCTCACATGGCCACGTGTATATAGCCTCTTCCGGGGAAGTCCTACTCACTGCCTTCTCGTGATCGGGGTGCTGTTTACGAAAATGAGAGGACGAAAGGCGCATGTACGGCACTATAACTGGATTCCAAACCAATGGTGCACATGGGCTCCAGTATCCTGCGGGAACAAATGGCGTATGAACCAATCGTTGGTCACCGGCTACCATGGGACTGCATCTCCTCGCGATGCTCCACTGCCTTGTGGATCAGACCTTCAGGTCGAAGGCTCGGGGTGTGGCCCCCTAAGAAAACCACCTGCTTCGGTTTGGGCACCCGGGCAGTATCACAGCCCTCACACATATCTAATGAGATATGTGTGGCGCATATGCATTTGGTGCCTCCTTGTACCAATATCTATGTGCTAAAATAAATAAATAAATAAGGTTATATATATTTTTTCATCTCAGTTTACTTAATATGTTCATATCATTTAAAGTTTTAATAATAATAAATTGACAGTACAGCATTGCGTAACCGATAATATACTCCGGTTAAATTCAATTTGGAAGTTTTGTGCTTTCTACCCTAAAGTTCTGACAAATTATAAACGTGTTGCTTCAAACTCATTTTGTTGTCAAGTTAAGATACTTAGCACCTTTGCGGTTATTTTAATCATTTCTATACGAGTTCCCATCCGCTAATTTTCTAGTTTATCTACTTAATTTCATCTTATAATATCATAATGAAATGGACATGTAGTGGTTGTAAATAACCTGACCGTTTTTGCTACCTTGGAGTGGTGGTCGGGATTGCCTACCGTAATGAACCTGTCGAGCTATACTGGCTGGAACGACCGTTCCTCGAGGTCCTACCATGCCAGACAGGTTGGTTGAAGGGCGGTAAGACTAAAAGCAACCAACACAAGGTCCGAAGGCGAAGTCGTACTGCTGACTGTAAAGAGGTGTGACAGCAGTAAGGTGTTTCCTTCAGACAACCAGCATGGCAGCGATGCTGCCTTCCCACAATGAGGGGTGGGTTTAGGAAAGATTGATCCTAAAAATGCACACCGCCTTATCTCACAGATATCCGTCTCTGGCGATAAGGTCTCAAAAAGTACGGAGCTAACACGAAAAGTACTCACAAAAAGGTCGTGTGTGACTGACCTCAAGCAGTTGTCCCTTGGGCACTGTGGTCACGCTCCCAGGTCACTAAGACGACCTTTAATCCAATTTCTTTTTCAGGTACCTCTAGAAGAACCCTTCCACAGTATGGGCAACCGGGAAGTGATAACCTCCGCCCTCATACCTCTAACAATACTCGAGGTTATCAACAATTAAATGAGTTTAAATGAATAGAAACTATTTTCATATCAACAGAAATTATCTGACTTAGTTAATAAGTGTATGCTCTTATACTAGGCTTCAGGTCACACATAATCATCAGAAGATGAGGATTTAATAAAGCAAATGAAGATAGATTTTCAATTCATGATTTATCAATTTAATACAGATTTGTTTTTCGATCATTATTTAATCTTACTTTCTTAATATCGAAACAGGCTTACACAATCACTTAATAAATGTTATGTAATAACTATTTTCCAAGGAGTTTTATACTATTCATGTACTTAATTTTAATTCATTTATTTTTAGTGTGATGTTACTCGTGCAATTTTCTTACAACGTAAAAGATCTTCATCATTTCGTGATCTATTACTTTTGCCTATATTTCGACTTAGTTTGAATTTACTACGAGATGCTGATCAAAATTTAACTTCTTTAGATTTGAATAATCCTGAACAAGTAAGTAGATTGTTTTATTATTTTTTTCATTGCCTTTGAATATATGGACTTTATTTAAGCTGATGGGAAAGTATTTATTTTTATTTAAACACATAAACACTGGTACAAATAGATATGCGCCACATAAATCATTCGATGTGTGTGAGGGCTGGGATACTACCCGGATGCCCAAACTGAAGCGGGTGATGGATAGTTGCTAGCAGTGGAATCCAGGACGCGTTTTTCGTCCTGTTTGGGACTCATCAACTGGATGTACCTACATCTCAGAGTTGATGCTCACTCTGGGACTTGATTCCAGTACCGTTCGATTCAAACGCTATCGCGTTATCCACTTAGTTACTGAGTCCTGATAGCCACTTGCTTGTGCAATGGGGTGAAGTTTCAATTCACTTAGGTAAAGCTTTAAAGATAAATATGAATTATCTTTATTTTCTTGAATGAAGTTTAAAGTTTTACATTATGAGGTACTATCTAAATAATAATTACAAACATTCCATCCAAATGAGCAACAATGAATAGTGGCTAGCAGTGGAATCCAGGATGCGCGACACTTCATCCTATTCGGGGTTCGTTAGCTGGATGTATCTGCATCTCAGAGTCGATGTTTACTCTGGGACTTGAACCCGGTACCGTTCGATTCAAACACCATTGCAACTAGCTGCTGCGATAATCTTGAGGACCTCAACCACATAGTCTACACCTAACATGATTCATTTCAACAATGAAAGAAAGTTAGGAGCGGCCAAACCAAAACGTGGCATCAGTCCTTGAAGTCACTAACTTCTAGTCTGAGCCATGTTGGTAGATGCAAACTACTTGGTTGGGGTTCACGTGACTATCGTAACCAATGGTTGTAGACTCTGGGTGACATGGCTCAGAATCGATCACAATGGTGTCGGTGTACACACTATCTTCCCTTAAACCATGAGACTTTAATTACTTTATATCTTTCTTTCTACGAGCTAATCCTTTCTTCCTGTACCATATGCTTATACACAATCTTTGTTTTATATATGATGAGGTTTGATAATGGAAATGGAATAAATATTGATAAGTGAAGACGGGGTTTGACCGTGAACAAGGTCGTTTTAAGAGCTACTAGAAGTATGAAGATAATCGTAACATTTTGGTTGTTGCTCACACTGTACAAGGAAACTTGTTTTGGATGAATCTTGAAAGAATGTTTAGTTGAGGTTGACCTAGGACCGTAACTTTGTAGTACGAAGTGCAAATGCTTTAGACAAGTCACAAATGACATTTCTTTATGTAGTCCTTAAGACCCGGGAGCTAGACTTTTGACGCCAGGAAACAACTTTATTACAGTAAAGCATGCCTATTTGTAAGACGTTTACAATTTTTCATATCCATCCTCACAAAGGCCTCTCCACCGAAGTACAAATCTGTGGATTATTGTGAAGTATGACATTTTTTCCACCGATTTTTACTTACCCCTTCCTTGCGTTGCTAGCGGGCAGAATAGCCGCTTGACCAGTAAACAATTTTTCCGGTTACTATAGCTCAGTTGGGTCATCATGATAAGCAAACGTAACCACCATTTTTAGGTAGCAGCTGGGGTTAGGACTGAATTACGAAAGTTGTCAGTTATGGAAGTGATCAACCAAACTATTAGTTTCATTGTACTTACACCCTTACTAATATCAAGTTTCCGTACTGTTCCATACCTTTTATTTCTGCTCTTTTCGTACCTTATTCTTTCTTTTTAGTATTTTTCACTGACAGTTCAACTATTTTTTAAAATTATTTCTCTACTCATCTAGTCGGTTTCATCACAACACACTTGTGTATTGTCGTAACACTGACCGATGTACAATTTAGTCATTCTGTACATTATAACATTATAATTGATTGGCTGACCTTTAGTAAGCTGGGTCTTAATGTTCCATATTTATGCACAACTATTAGTCGACTGAGTCTGTCTAGTGGTTGATTTATTACTGCAATATGCCTTAACACTACATATCGATTATTCTTAAGTTTTTGGTCTGTAATTTTACTACTACACTCCCTACTCACTGAATTCAACCCTTTCGAATAATGTTTTTGTTCCCGATATAAAAAATAACCATGCAGTGTGCTGGTATTGGGACGATATTAAAATGATAAGGTAGCTGAAGAGCCTTATTTCCACGAACTGCAAATAATGAAACTAGATATGAGACAATTTATTGCCATAAATTTGGGATATTTTCAGAACGATAAACTGTTTTACTAAAAATTATATAAAAAATAGTGAGCATAGCTTCCAATGGATTTTCTTTTCCCATGTTAAAAACTGACTTTGCTATGATTGACAAGAACAAAACGTTCATCTATAACTTCTGGTCATTTCCTCACAACTACCTAATAGATTTGTGTAATTGTGATGTCCTTTTTTTATTCATACCTTAACTTTAATAAAATAAATAACATAAACTTATAAGCTGAGAAAATTACCTAACTGGCATTGTAATTGAACTATTTCATAAACAATAGATAACACTCGTCAATTTAGTATGGTGTATACTACCTATGTTGACAGATATAAGTAGTATTTAACACTAATCAAAAGTGGAATACATGCCTACAGAAGACTGGGAAGATTTCAATTAAAGAAAATATAAAGAGGAATAGAAATTAATCTTAACAGACTAGTCGAAAGAATCATAAAACATGTAGAGGACAACTAATAAAAGATATGCAAATTATGTAATTGATGTATGATTTTCATATTTTACAAAATGCACTCTTTCATTTTGTATTAAACCATAAATTGATCTTTCCCATCTGACTGTTCGTTCATTACAATAACAATGAAATAATCAAGTTTGATTGCATTAATTTATCAGAAGTTAGACATCTTATACCCATCTGCAGTTGTGAGATTGGGATAATGGATATAAATGAGATTTATTATTTATTTGAACAAATAAATACTGGTATGAGAGGGCACCAGATACATATGCGCCACACAAATCTCATTTGATTTGTGTGAGGTCTGTGATACTGCCGGGGTACCCAAACCGAAGCAGGTGGTTTTCTTAGGATGCCACACCCGGAGCCTTCGACCTGAAGGTCTGATCCACAAGGCAGTGGAGCATAGTAAGGAGATGCAGTTCCATGGTAGCCGGTGGCCAACGATTGGTTCATACGCCTTTGTTCCCACAGGATACTGGAGCCCATGTGCACCATTGGTTTGGAATCAGGGTTTTCCAACTCCCCTATGTGGACTCTCCATGTCCACCAACCCGGTTAAAGCTCCGGAGTTTCGCTTTTCGTCCTCTGAATTTCGTAAACAACACCTCCGCCACGAGAAGTCAGTGAGTAGAATTTCCCTGGCAGAGGCTTTATACACGTGGCCATATGAGAGCATTTGGAGAGAGAGAGAGAGCGAACTCTCCCCACTCTCGGTTGTACCAGGGCATTTGGGGGCATATAAATGGAAAGCTTTCCACTAATAAATTAAATAAATATTTAACTCTCTCACCTGAATGATTTTCACATTTTTTTATTAACTTAACAACACTTAAATGTTCACATCAACAGTAATGTTGTTATGATTGTCTCAATTGTCTTTTTTTTCTCCTTTCTATTTTTCTTATAGCATGGATTATTTTCTCAAAGTTTACAATTAGTTTATTCTTGTCTTTCATATGATTTTATTGGAACATCTGGTAGTGTTAATAGTACAGTATGCGATGTATCTTCAAATGGTATGGATGATTTAGTTGTTGTTCAGATTCCAACAAGTTGGCGACAAATTTTTATTGATTCAGGGACTGTACCATTATTTTTTCGATTATATAAAAATTTATCACCTGATTTATCTGTTCTCGTAAGTGATTTATTTGATAACAAATAGGTGGTTTCTTAATATCTTTTTTTTTCTCTGTTCAATTTTTATTTGTTATTGTTTTATTTAATTAATTTATTGTGATTTTCAAGCTCTTCATTGAAAACCTACGAGAACTGGATGGCCGTTTCATCTTAGTATGGGATTTGTCGTTAGTGCGCATCCACTATCCCTCATGTGAAACTAAAACCCATAACCTTCGGTTTCGCGTGTGAACGCTTAACCCTCAGTACAGTTAGCCGGTATTCAACGGTGTTAATGTCTAACTTCAATCTATTCATGATCTTGCGTAACCCTTCATCCATTGTCTGAGGTGAATAGCTGTCTCCAAGCGACATGGATTGCACTCCACTGGTTACGGCTTCTCATTAGAATTTCAGGGAATCCATTTTAAAACTAGTCACTAGTGAGCATATGATTGATATCAGTATGAGGAATTCAACTGCTAAAATACTATAATCACAAATCCCCATACTGATACTAATTCGTAATTGATTTAAGAACTTCAGTACTTTTTGTTTTATATCATCTGGTACAATTGCGTATGAGTTCACATGTAATATGGGCATGGTGAGAGATGAAATGAGCATAATGAGTAACAATGGATTGGAAATAATATCAATTTTAATGGAAATCTAAAAATAAAATGCAATTCAAAAGAATCAAATGAAATCGAAGTATGAGCAATTGGAATTTACTCTGTACTTAGTATTTAAACGAATAGTAAAAATGATTGCTACTGTTGGATAGTGTCCAACTATTAATTAGCGTTATTACGCATACTTTAACAAGGATTGTATCTTATCAACATGGCTTTGAATAGTAGTTAATGATTTCATCAATCTTTTTATCCCTAACTTCTCCCAAGCATTCTCATTTCAGATCGGAATGGACGTCAGAATAGATGGTAGTTATGTAAAAAATAACTGATGTCGTAATCACATCAATCGGCAAATGCTTATGATATTATCAATCCATTGGGTATCCTTATCTGATATCCTACGCATAACCTTAACTTTACTGACTTGATGTTTGTTCTGTTCATGAGTAATGCTCTAAGTCACCAATAATTATTATCGTGATATAATAGGCGTAGCCAAGGTTTTTTGTGGAGTGAATCATTCCTAAAAAATAATTCCAAAAAATATTTACTGAGTGCATGTTGATCTACGCGGCTCGTAACTACATTTCTGTTGTGTAAGCGTTAACAATGTTACCTGGATATCAACACTGTGAAATAGTTCGAGCGCGTTTCGAAACTGCAAGCCATAGGTTGATTAACAAGTCTTTCAACCATTAGGTCATCTACCCTTTAAAGGTAGACTGACAGCTGTCTTTGAATCTAACTTCGTTTGGAGTCCTATGTGGAGCACTGTAGGGCGTTTTTTTAACTACTAGATGTTAGGTTCAGGTTGTATTTGATATCCCTAAACATAACCAAAACCATGAATAGTACTTGATAATGAATAGCAATTCTATGTAGACTTATTCCATGGATATTCGATTTTGATATTAGTGTATGTTTTACGAACAAATTTAATTGCCTCAACGCTACCTCGTGAACGGATGTTAATGGGAATTATTGGAAGACGATATCTCTTTTCTCATACAAATTAAGTTTCAAATATCAAGAGTAACTAGCTTGACCTCAGGTCAAATTATGTGACTCTTTTGTCAAATATCGATACATTTACTCGTCTTTGAATCACATTTCTTTGTATAAAATCTATTAGGTGACCAAAACTAATGTAACTGACACAGGATTCGAACTTGTGATCTAATAGTTAAATATAAAATTCTTCAATCACTAACCCACTACTACATAGTTCCATTTAAAACTATTCAACTGAAATAAACAGATTAAACAATCTTGTCATAACATTTATTAAGTTTAAGTTCATTTTTGTATTCAAATACTGTTTCATTCTTTCAGTTTCAGTTTGGAAAGTACAGGAGGCTTGATGGCCTGTGTTAGTTCTTTATTTCAGTTTGTTATAATTTGAGTGTAGACTATATCACACCAAATGATTTTTCTATTAACGAAATATGGTTGACATATTAGTGTTTTTGCGAAATTTCAGAGCAATTCTGTACATATTTAAGTTTTCTTACCTTCCACATAAGATCTACATACCTGTAAATTCAAGTTATATATATATCCAACATTTACTTTTACCTTATCCTTTATTTAGGATTATTTTCATTACATGAAACCAGAAGATGGGACTTCCAGAAAGAAGACAACCAATAAAATTCTTATCTAATGATAACACTACCCATTACGTTATTATATTATTATTTAAACAAATGAACATTGGTACAAGGAGGCATCACATAAATCATTCGATTTGTGTGAGGGCTGGGACAAAGCCCAACTCCGCCTGTAGCTCTCTCATAGTTACTGCCTGTCCCAAGCTTGGGTAAAGGAGGAGGGTTGGGCATGGGGTTAGCGATCCCATCCTGTAGAAAACTAACCCGCTAAAAAAACGCTAACCAGAAAAAATAATTCAAACCATTTAAATTAACTGGGACAATGCCCGGATGCACAGACCGAAACACGTGTGCACCATTGGTTTAGAATCAGGGTTTTCCAACTCTCCTGGATGGATTCTCTGTGTCCAGCAACCCTGTCAACGTGCCAGACATTCGCTTTTTGTCCTTTCAATTTCTTGAACAACACCCCCATCGCGAAAAGGCAGTAAGTAGGACATCCCTGGCAGTAGCTTTATGCACGTGACTATATGAGAGCATATGGAGAGGGATAGCTGACTATCTCTATTCTCGTCTGTACTATTTGGGAGTAAAACTACCATTACGTACAATGCGATGGCTTCATATTGGTCTTTCTAACATGTTTTGAATCAATTACTTCATTGAATGTTAATTTGTGTGTAGTAGGAGTTGCTGTTGTTGTTGTTGTTGCTATACATTGTTTAATTAATTTCGTAACATTTCTGATTATAAATAAAACTAATAAGTCACTTTCATTAATATAATTATTAAAACAAATGTTCTATTTAAACTCAAGATCACGTTACTTTATCAGGGATCAATAAAAACAAAAAGATTTGTAAATAATCATCCATTGCGGCAATGTGGAACTTTACAAAAATGTTCTTTCTTTCAAAGTTCATACAAGTTCATATGTAATTCAATGTAATTAATTAACAATACTGAAAATAAACAAAACTTTTCACTACTTGAAATCACCAGTCAACTGAAACTAGATCACCATAGAGAACCTGGGAGAACTGGATGGACATTTCGTCCTAGTATAGGACTCCTCAGCAGTGCGCACCCACGATCCCGCCCCCCGCAAGAATCGAACCCAGGATCTATCAGTCTCGCGCGCGAGCGCTTAACCATTAGACCACTGAACCGGCCGTCATTCAACGGTGTTCAAGTCTAACTTCAACCAATCCACGAAATTTCACCACCATACACCATTGTCTTCAGTGAGTTGATATCTCACGATAGACCTGATTGAACTCCATTGGTAACGACTTCTCACTAGAACTTCAAGAAATGCCTCTTGAAGTCAGTCACTAGTGAGATGATTTTCATGATTTCAACTATTGAAATTTCTAAAAATCTCCACAAAACCCCTTCTGATAAATATTTTTTAAAAATTAGATTTTAATTATGTTTTCATGAAATTATACTAATTTATTGACAATTTGTTTATCTTTATCTACTTAGGCACTTTCTTGTTTAGTTCAAATAGCAAGTATACGTCGTTCATTATTTACAAATGCTGAAAGATCAATATTTCTTTCACAAATTGTATCTGGTTGTCGTGATATATTATTATCTGTTAGTAATATAACATCATCATCATCAACAACAACAACTAATACTAATACTACTGTTATTGGTTCTCCGCATAATACACTTTCTAATAATAATATTACTACTACTAATAATAGTAATCATAACAACAGTATGAACAATCAAGATTGTAATTTAATCAATAATCCAGAAGCTTATCATGAATTTTGTCTTCTTCTTTCTAGACTTAAATGTAATTATCAATTAAATGAATTAATTACACTTGATAATTATTCTTCATTTATTGAATTACTAACTATATTCACTGTGAATAGTTTAAAAGTAAGTTGATAAATTGTAAAGACATTTTTCTCACTCCTTCTCTGTTTACTTTGTACCATTTATTTATTTATTTAAACGCATAAACTTCGGTACATAGAGGTACCGAATACTTATACGCCACACTAATCATTTGGTTTATGTGACAGCTGTGATACTTCTCGCTCCTCCAAACCGAAACAGGTGGTTTTCTTACGGGGCCACACTTTGAGCCTTTTTACTTAAAGGTCTAATCCACAAGACAGTGGAGCAACATTAGGAGATTCAGTCCCATGGTAGTCAGTGACAAATAATTAGTTTATAAGCCATTTGCTTTGTCACAGGATCCTGGAGCTCATGTGCACCATTGGTTTAGAATCAGCGTTTTCCAATTCCCATAAGTGGGTCCTCTGCATCCATCAACCCTTTTAAGGCGCCGGACATTTGCTTTTCTTCCTGTCAGTTTCTTGAACAACACTCCTGCCACGAGAAGGCAGTGAGTAGGACTTCGCCGTCAGTGGCTGTATACCCGTGGCCATATAGAAGCATTTGGAGAGGGAGGAGCCGACTCTTCTTATCCTCGACCGTAGCAGGGTATTTTAGGGTTTGTATCTTTCATAACACAATAGTACATAATTTAATATCAGAGACTATTAAAGATCATAAAATTCTTTTACGGTTATATATTAACACATCAGCGTTTTCCAATACTAGTAGGCTATCAGGTGAAGTGATGTTATGAGTAGAATTGTAGTCTCATTTGTTGCCTTGTGACTATAATTCTTAATCTTAATAAATGATTTGCTATCTGATAGTTAACTGAATTATACTAATTTTGTTGATTAATAACAGCCTTGCTCTTCAAATTCGTCATTCATTCATCTGATTGATGGTTCTGTCTTAAAATCACTTTCGAGCGATTCCCCTTAGACACAAATCGATTTTGTGTAGACGCGTAATTTTCTTCTAACATTTCCAGTCTGGGGGCGAATATTCCTTATTCCCTGCTCTTCTTGAACAATCAATCATTCTTCCTTTATTCTTTGAAAATATACAAATAAGTAAAAATGAACGTCAGAGGAACCGATATCTTTCGTTTACTTTTGATTGTACTTGAGATCCATGTGGAAATGAATCCTGTTGCACACTAAATACCCTTGTGCCAGAACTATCGGCAGATATTGTAGTGTTAAATAAAAACTTAAGTTTTTTAAACTTTGTATAAAAAACAATCGTATAGATGATGATTGAAGACTTTGTGATCGTTGGACAAATAACAGAGGCGTGTATTCTGAATCAAAAGTCATTAATCGGAATCCAGTTTTCATATGGTTAATAATCTTCCTATCAAAACCTATTAGTGCAGTCTTTTGCCAATATAATTGAATCTTTAAAGATGCCACTTATTGCCTAACGTTCTTGCACTACTATAGTAGTCCACACAGTTATACTTTCAAGCATTTCTGTTTTAAGAAACTATATTTCATACTCCAATTGAATATTAAAACGAAGTAGATTTGATGTTCTTAGAGAATGTATAGATAACCATTTAGTAGTAGAAAATGAAGGAAACATGAATAAATCTTGAATGTTATCTCAAAATGATCGTAATAGCGATTTCAAATGGAAACAACAACTGTATTCTTTATCTATCGAAATCTATTCCGCATCATCATGACAAAAAATACTGACAACTAGGATAGTGTTAGCGGGATATAGATTGGACCAAAGTATGTTCTGTGCAAGATTGTATTGGATCACGTTGATTGGCCATTTTTTAAACAATCAGCGCTAGCAGATAATTGGTGAAGGCTACAAAATTTTCTCGTGCAAAATTATAAGTATACTGACGTTTTTCTCATTGGGAATCTTACTCGTATTTATTTGGAGTATACTTACCTTCCGATTCAACCGTGTTCTCATTTAGGGACTAGTTGAGTGAAGCATAATGTACTAAAAATACTAAGCAATGAAGAGTAGTTGAATTGTAATAAAAGAGATTACAACATATAGCAGCTTAAACTTACTACTCAATGACACAGACTTTGACAAATAAACTTTCGGGTTTATTTCTCTTGGTATTTTAGTATCTTGCTTTTTTATTTTCTTTCTTTTGCCTTTCCACTATCTACTTCACTATTTCCATTCATTTACACCTTTCTGTTGTTACTCACCATTCAACGACGTTCATATATATTTTTAAAAAAACAAATATACAACTGTTCAATGTCTTACTGTAGTGAGCCCCCAAATGCCCTGGTACGGTCGAGAGCTGGGTGGGTCCGCCCTCCCTCTCGAATTACTCTCACATGGCCACGCGTATACAGCCTCCGCCAGGGAAGTTTTACTCACTGCCTTCTCGTGGCGGGGGTGTTGTTCACGAAAATGAGAGGACGAAAAGCGAATGTTTGGCGCTATAACCAGATCCCAAACCAATGGTGCACATGGACTCCAGTATCCTGCGGGAACAAATGGCGTATGAACCAATCGTTGGTCACCGGTTTCCATGGGAATGCATCCCCTTACGATGCTCCACCGCCTTGTGAGTTAGACCTTTAGGTCAAAGGCTCGGAGTGTGGCCCCCTAAGATAACCACCTGCTTCGGTTTGGGCACCCGGGCAGTATCACAGCCCACATCCAAATGATGTGTGTGGCGCATTCTTGTTCCAATATTTATGTGTTCAAATAAATAAATAAAATACTGTAGTGAACGAGAACTTAGGTGAAGTAAACCAATTTATTGTTAACTGCAAAATTAAAAAGTGGCTAGGTAAACCTTACATTAAATACATCAGTTGTCCTGTATATACTTCATAATTATTCCAATTCTATTATTACTTCAACTGCTATCTGTTTTCTTGAAATAACCCCTTTTGACAAGCATTGCATTTTTTATTGATGCAACATACTACTTATGTATCAGCGTAAGTAGTATGAATCACATTACGTTATTTTTATCTGTTTTTTCCATCCAAATAAGTATAGTGGTTCATTCAGTGATTTGTATCAGGAACTTTGATTTGTAATAAATCCTTACTAATCATTCTTTCAAAAATTAAATACTTAAATTTAACCTACCTATCTACCTATCGTTTCTGTCTAGTTTTGTTTCTTCACAATCCTATTACTCTATATCATTTGTCTTTCCAAAAAAGAAAAATGTTTTTTTTTAAAAAAAGGAGTAGTGTAGTGAACAAGTACACGGGTGGGGACAACCGAAATGTATTTAACACAAAATTACAGAGTTACTTGGTAAAATAGAAAAACCATATAGTAAATCGTTAATTTGTAAAATATTAATCCATCATATCAAACCGGACTGTTCCTGTTGCAATTATCAATCCATTGTTTCACATTTCATTGTTCATGCGTTTGCTTACTAATCGCATTGTGTTGCCGCTCTTCCTTTCTTGATCTTCCTCCATCTTCTGCTGCCAGACATTACTTTTTTACTCGCGTCATATACTACTTACATCAATATAAGTAGCACGCACCACAGTAGTATCAATAATAAAACTGCAGTCGATTAAATAATGAAACTAAAAATTGAAGAATATTCGACGTTGCATGGTAAAAAAAAACTTCAATAATTCAAGCTTCGTATCAGTTAAAGCAAATTAATGACTTTCAATATTCTTATTTTAATTCAAAATAGCATTTATCATTCTATACAAGATTTGTAATCCTAAATAAACTCCTTCTTCTATACAACAGACAAGGTAAGTTTAAGTTGAAAGAGTGAGACTATAATTTATGGAGCACATTTCAGCGATGCTAGACTAACCTTGAAAGTCTCCACTTAATAACCAGAACCAAATGAATGTTATAAACCTGTGTAAGTAATTAGAATTATGATTTACAGTTGATGATTGAGGTTAGGAATTAGATTTAAGGTTTTTTTTATCATGAACTAACATCAGCTGTAATGACAAAACTCTAATTGTACAAATAGATAAATGAATTTCATGTCAAAATTCGAGACCTTTTATTTTATACCTAATTGATTCGTCCATCAATTCTAGTCTCTCCGTTAAACGTTTATTTTATTCTAATAATAAATAAATAATTATCAGGAGGGGTTTTTTGGAGATCGTTTTTTAGAAATTTCAATCGTTGAGATCATGAGTCAAATGAAGCCAGATCACTATGGAAAATCTGAAAGCACTGGACGGCCGTTTCGTCTCAGGATGGGACTCCTCGCCAGTGTGGATACACGATCTCGCCCCTCACCGCGAGATTCGAACCCAGGACCTATCAGTCTTGAGCGCGAACGCTTAACCACTAGACCACTGAACCGGTTGGCATCCAACGGTGTTACTGTCTAACTTCAACCAATCCATGAAATTTCACCACCATACACCATTGTGTTCAGTGAGTTAATATCTCACAACAGACAAACCTGGTTGAACTCCACTGGTAACGACTTCTCACTAGAACTTCAGGAAATGCCTCTTTTTAAGTCAGTCACTAGTTAGATGTTTATTTTAATCCACTAATAAATAAATAATTCATTTATAACTATTCTAATTAATTTATTTATTTTATTAGGGATCTACTGATGAATCTAATCAAAATAGTTTACATTATTTATTAACATTATGGCAACGTTTAGTAGCAAGTATTCCATATGTTCATTCATCTGATACACATATGTTAGATACATTTACACCACAAATAATTAATGCTTATATTGAAACACGTTTAAATTCTATACCAAACTATATGAATCATACTACTATACATATTACTCGTGAATCTATACGTTCTGAAAAGAAATCAAAAGAATTTATTAATTTATCAAAATCATTTAATAATTCTACAATAAATGATACATTATTACATAATGATAATAATCATAATCATAATAATTATCATTCTATAATTACTAATAATTCTAAATTAATTAATGATTCATTATCTACAAATAATGATTGTTTACTTGATGATTGGATTACACTTTCACAACAATTAGATCAAGTAAGTATTCAATATTTTAATTTGTATGGTATTTCTTATTAAAAATTAGATTCATATAAATTAAAATGTAGGTGTCACTTGGGTTAGATCCCGATAAGAATAATGAATGATAACTTTTGAAATTTATTGATGGATCAATACTATACGTGTATTTGTATCGTATAATTGTTAAATAAATAAACTATTTATATTTGTGTTCCTCTGATTATGAGCTTTATTTTGATCTATGAACTATTATTATACGATTTACCATTCTTGAGTTATGCTCTGTCTATTAATTACTACCTCCAGCATTCACAGTCACATCTGGCGAATTCTTGTTTAAATGTTGTTTCTTATTTTATTGATACGATGTGGTCTGTATGATTGGTATATAAACAGAGTATGTTTGAAATATAAGGATTCATATCGCAGAGGCTGAGACTGGTGTTCTGGGCTCAACTGGCTGGGCTAGGCGGACTCTAAGCTTCTCGCACGTGTTTTACACGTCATTGGTCTGATCGATAATTCACTGCTCTCTAATTGGCAGTCACAAGTTATAACAACTTGATAGTTGTTTCATCTTTATTTAAAAACTTTAACTTGTATTAGTTGACGTTAAACATTAACACCGTTTGATACCGGCTCAGTGATATAAAGCTTAAGCATTCGTGCGCGAAACTGATATGTTTTGGGTTCGAATCTCGCGGTGAAGTTGGGATCGTGAATGCGCACTGCTGAGAAGTCCCATACTAGGATCAAACGGCCGTCCAGTGCTTCCAGGTTTTCTATGGTGGTCTACCTTCAATTGAAGTGTTATAACTTGCGGTTTTATGCCCTTGGTTCTTCGTTTTTCACCCCGTCGCCAATTGTTATAACTTGTACCGTGCGTCCTATTAATGTATAACCTAATGATACCACCAATTCGAAAACAGTGAATTATCGACCGGATCAACGACGCATAAAACTCATACGAACAGTCTAGAGCCCATATCGATCCTGATTCTCGCCTTACTCTCCCTGTTGAGTTCAGAACATCAATATCAGCTTCTGCGATATGAATCATTTATCTCAAAAATACTGGGTTTCTATACTAACCAAACAGACTACATTGTACCATAAAATAGGAAAAAACATACAAGATTAAGCCAAAAGTGGCTGTGAGTATGGGAGGTAGTAATTGATAGATAGGTCAAAACTCAAGAATGGTAAAATGTGTAATGATGATTCATAGGTCAAAATAAAGCTCATAATAAGAGGAACACAAATATGAATGGTTTAGTTACGTATATTATTGGTCCATAAATTGATCCCAAAAGTTACCATTCATTACTCTCATTGGGATATAACATGAAATACTCAATTTTTTAACCGTTTATTGTGAATAAGATTAGCTCGAGTGTTGTTAAAATATAAAAACAGTTGTTTATTCCAGATAGTCTACACCATGAAACGATAATTTCCATGAAGGATCTGTTAAAGAAATCGGGTTAGATGTGACCTTGACAAATTGTAAGTGTGACTGTAAAGTTTAATGGACAATTACTTACAGGTAGCACGTATGATTTATTGTGAGTAGTCTATAATTAACATTTTAGACTTTGATACCGCAAATGAAAGTATGTTGTACTATTTTCGGTCTTGTCCCCAACTGACCTATCTGACACTGCCTTAATTATTCATATCAATTTCAGAGTGTTTTCTCTGGCTACTTTGTGAGTCAGGGACAATCTTCTGTTCAGATCTTTTTTCGAAATGATCAGTATAGGTTTGTGGAGATTGATGAGCTTTAATTAAGATTATGAGTTGATTAATATTAGGACACCATTAAAACCCGGAAACACTGGATGACCGTTTCGTCCTAGTATACAAATCTTCAACAATGCTCACCCACAATCCTGTACGCTGGATTCGAGTCCGAAACCTCCAATCTCGTGCGCGATTGCTTAATCTCTAAATCACTGAACCGGCATCCAATGATTTTAATGTCTAACTACAATCAATCCGCAATATTAAGCGACCATCTGTTCTCTTCGGTGGGTAACTACTTCACATCCGAAGTTATTGTTCTTCAAGATATTGTTCTAATCAAAACTTAGTATTCCTTGACTCAAGAAACGAAAATCAACCAATATACAACGTTTCATTTTACAGTTTCATAGGTAAGTTGATATTTCATTTTTTTTTGTGTGTGTTTGATTTCCCTTTATTAATTTTTTTAAAATATTTTCTACTTTTTCATATTTACAGTTTGGAACTATTGGACGTTGTGTATATGATAAAACTTGTAATACTATTATTCTATTATTTGATGAATATGCCAGTAGTTTAGAAAAAGCTTTCAATATTCTCACTTCTAACAATTTGTCCGTAAATGATTCTCATCTGGAACAAGTTTTACGCTTAGAAGAACATCGTTTGGCATGGCTTGTTTATATGGTTGGTAAGTACATATATGTATATCATTTCAATGTTGTTGTTTTTTGTTATTTATATCCTTTTTCATATCTTCGTATTATTAACATTTCATTTCTCATTCTATTTTAACTCTATGAAATAAACATAAAAGGTGCATTAATCGGTGGTCGTGTAAATTATACCAATGCAGATGAATGTGATGGTGAATTAGTCTGTCGTGTAATACAATTAACTCGTTTAATAACAAATTTTATCACATCAAATACTTCATCAACAATATCTAATTGCACTAATACTTTGCTAACAACTCAATCACCAAGTATGATACGATTAGAGTTAGCTGTATTAAGTTTCTTTGAACAACTTCGACGAGTGTATGTTGGTGAAAATGTTGGCAAATTGTCTAAGGTAAGATTTGTCTATGTATACACTATTTTTTCACTTACAGATATGCATACTTACCCATTAACCTGTATATTGAATCACTTATATCTCTAGGCTTCTATAGGTACATTTCATATTACTACTTTATATAAATATTTCTACATAATTTTGATATTACTTTTTAGAATGGTACATCGTAATTACTAAAACCATTATGCTCATCCCTATAGCTTCCTAAATAGTAAAGTTGTTCAGCTAAATAACTGGCAATTTGTTCTCATTGTCTGTTTTCCATGAATATACTGTACGTTTTCTTCAACTTCGTAGAATAAATAAAAAACATTATTTCTATAAGCTCTGGTTTATTGATTTAGTCACTCAATTTTTATCCATTAGTTCATAGACCTGAACTGCGCAATCTAATTTAGATAAATACTATTGTGAAAGTAAGCAATGGGTAGAAGGAATGTATTTACATCACTTTCAATCGTCTATTTGTATCTTCTCATGTTTTCTGCCTTCTCATCTGATCTCTAAGTGTTCTACGGATGCTGTGCTTTATCTGTACTGAGACTCTTCATTCTGCCTGAAAACTTCGAGGTCACGTTCCGCAACAGACTCTTGCAGTTTAACATTTTAAAGACTAATTACATACTAACTTGATCATTTCTGTAAACTGGCAATTGTTCTCTAATGATTTTAAGAAGTAATATTTACTTTTTTGTCATCCATTATCGACTTTCATGTTAATTATTGAGTTCAAAGACTACAATTATGAATATTAGTTGAATGGTGGAATCATCTAGGACAGTAATGGATTTCCTATCTACTGACTATCGTAACACATTGCTGACTTAAATAATTAGTTCAAAGGAATTCTGAAGGATGATCAAACAAAAACAAGATATCATTGAATGACAGCCTAAGTTCAGACATGCAGGATAAACTTAATCTATAGTTAAAGACATGTGCTAACACGATCATAATAATGCATATGTATTCATGATTTGTTGTACAATAAATGATAAGTGTATCTTTATTTTATACTTTCATTTCTTAAAATTAATCGGGTGTGTTGTGAGATAGTAACTCACTGATAACAATGATGGATGTGTCGCTCAGTTTCGTGGATTAGTTAAAGTTAAACATCATTAACACCGTTTTATGCCGGCTCAATGGTCTAGAAGTTAAACATTCGCACGCAAGACTGATAGATTCTGGCTTCGAATCTTGAGAGGCAGAATCGTGAATGCACACAGTTGAAGAATCCCACAATAGGACGAAACCGCCATCCAGTGCTTCCAGGTTTTCCATGATGGTAGTAACTTATGATCTCATCTATTGAAATTACTATAATATCCGCACAAAAAACCCTTTCTGATATTCATATTGATATACTTATTCTTATTTATTTATTTTTTATTTATTTATCTAGTTCTATCAATGTTTATCAGATAAATTAGGTATATCAGATGAAATGATGATCCTTGATGTATTTATTAATAAAATTTTAACAAATTTAAAATATTGGAGTAATTGTGAATCAGTATTACAAAGAACATTAAATTTATTATCAGAATTATCTGTTGGTTTTAGTGCTATGCGTAAATTATTACGATTAGATAATATACAATTTATGCTTATCAATCATACAGTAAGTGTATATCATGAAAAAAAAAGTTTTTATTTTTTTATTTTTTTGATCGTGTTTGTGATTTGTATGATCGGTTCATGATATGATCGCTCAGCTGAACACTATGTCAAATCTATGATGTATTGAATGATATGAGCAGTAGTTTAGCATAGTAATTTCAATCGGTCCCTTTTTCTTGCCTAACCACCTTCTTGTTGAGTCCAGAATATTAATATCTGTTCTCATAATATGAATTATTTTGAAAAGAGCAAGAACTGAAAGATTCTAGCAGAATAGCATGAATTCATTTTTATTTCGTAGGTTCTCATCAGCTGCTTACAACCTGTGGTATTTAAAAATCATAATTACATAATGGGTTTAAATTGTTAACTGATTATTGTAAATATATTACCTAATGTGAGAGAATATTCTACAACATTAATTGTGACAACAGTTCAAAAGTGGGTTAGAAACAATCAATTACATAATGAATAACATTGAAGGAATGTAGTGAGTAGAGTTCAGTTGAAAGATTATTAGTTATAAAGATAGTTGAAAAAAAAATAAAATAGAGTCAATGATGTAATAAATGCAATTGGCGGTAACCTGAAAGGGTTGCTTGTCGATCTTTGATTGGGTTATTGAACATGTTATTTTATAGAGAATTAAAAGTTTAGCAGCCGGATAAGTTCTGGCTAGCGCTGTATTCAGTCTCTTGTTGATAATTTGTGCGACGTCATCACCTTTAAAGTTAAGATCTATATATACTGGCTTTTTATTGACTATAGTTATTACCGTCTTCTTTTCCTTGGGCCTTTTATATTTGTCAATAAACTTTTGTGGATAAAAGTTTTCTTTTAGGCATTTTTCTACGTTCATTAATTCTTCTTCCAGTTTGTCGGTGGTAAATATCTTTTCTGCCCTGTAAAATAGTGTTTTAACCAACGCCTTCTTGTAACTAATTGGACAGAAACTATTGAAATTCAGGTAAAGGCCATTCCAATTACTTTTTCTATAAATTGAACGTTGGACTGTTCCGTCTCCCCTGCGTTTTATGGCAACATCAAGAAAGTGGAACATGTCGTTCTCTTCGTGTTCCATAGTTAAATGTATGTTAGTATGAGCGTTATTGAAGAGTTTGAGCAGGCGGATTGCATGTTGTTTATTATTACAGATGATAAATGTGTCGTCCACAATATTCAGTTAGCAATTTAAACCCATTATGTAATTATGAATTTTAAATATCACAGATTGTAAGCAGCTGACGAGAACCTACGAACTAAAATGAATTCATGCTATTCTGCTAGAATCTTTGTTCTTGCTCTTTTCAAAATAATAAAGGGAACTATGTGTATGAAATTTCTCAAAAAACGCCTCTATGAATTATTTATTTCAAACATACTTGGTTTATATATAAGTAGAAATTAGACCGCGTCATACCATCAAATAGGAAATTAATATTTACAGAAGATCAGTTCAAAAAGTAGTTGTGATTATAAGAGACTGTAATCCGTTTATAAGTCAAATGGAAATTTATAATATGACGAATAAGAATATATGTATATAATAACAATGTATAAATAGTTCCCAGAAGTTATCCATAATTTTTTTCTTCACAGGAATATCACAGATTTATGTTCATTAAAGTTGATCAATCCTCTTTATAGTATACAGACTCGTTTAATATTGCTTGGAATACAGACACATATTGTAGTGAACGAGAACATAGATGAGAACAACCGAATTATATTTACCACAACATTACAGAATTACTTGGTAAAATAGAAAAACCATACTATAATATCCAATTTGCAAAATGTTCAATAACTGTCTTACACTTCATTATTCTTGCATTTTCTATACTAATTGCTTTCTTTTCCCGTTCGTTCTTTCTTGATCTTTTCAATCTTTTGCTGTCAGACATTACATTCCTGACTCGCGTTTATATACTACTTATGTCAATATAAGTAGCACTCACCACAATATGACTTATAATTACATTACTATAGATTGATCAAAGAAGAAATATTAATTTTCACTTGGTTACTCAATAATTAGTCCTTCAATGTTTAGAATAATGAATATTGTTCGAAAGAATACTTTTATATTTTAAAGATTTTAGATTGTGTTTTTTTCCTAATCTCTCTTAATATTTTCTTAACGATATAAGATCACTACCGTGTTATTGATGTACACATATTGTATATCGAAAATCCTTTACAACTAGATAGTTTGAGTTTGTGGATAATTTTTGATGGACAGAATTGACCAAGTTATTAATTGATAACTAAAATATCTAAATTAAGAATAATTTGATTTGGATTTTTTGAGAATGATTTGTAACAGTCTGTTTTAGCTCATTTCAAGTATACTTGAATTTATTTTATTTTAAGTCATAGATATTGGTACAAGGAGGCACCAAATACATATGTGCCACGCAGATCTCATTTGATATGTGTAAAGGCTGTGATACTGCCTGGGTGCCCAAACCGAAGCAGGTGGTTTTCTTAGGATGCCACACCTGGAGTCTTCGACCTGAAGGTCTGATCCACAAGGCAGTGGAGCATCGTGAGGAGATGCAGTTCCATGGTAGCCGGTGACCAACGATTGGTTCATACGCCATTTGTTCCCACAGGATACTGGAGCCCATGTGCACCATTGGTTTGGAATCAGGATTTTCCAACTCCCCTATGTGGACTCTCCATTTCACCAACCCGGTTAAAGCTCCGGAGTTTCGCTTTTTGTCCTCTCAATTTCTTAAACAACCCCCATGGTGCGAGAAGGCTGTGAGTAGAACTTCCCTGACAGAGGCTTTATACGCGTGGCCATATAAGAGCATTTGGAGAGGGAGAGCGAACTGTTCCTACTCTCAGCCGTACCAGGGCATTTGGGGGCTCATACTTGAATACATTATTCAGTTGCCAAAAACCTATATAGTTTCTGCCATTTCATTTACTTATCCACGGTTAATTATTTAATGGAATTTAGATGTAATCAACAGCATAATATGAGTTATTATCATTGAGCAATTTTAATAATAAATGTACTATGATCATTATACATTTTGTTTAAGAAAATAAAAACACTCATTTTTTAAAATAGTTGAATTCATGATTTAATTGGAGCTAGACCATCATGGAAAACTTGGAAACACCGTTAGATACCGATTCAGTGGTCTAGAGACCAAACGTTCACATGCGATACTGATTGATCCTATGTTCGAATCTCGCGAGGTGGGATCTTGGATCCGCACTGCTGAAGAGTTTCATACTGGGACGAAACGGCCGTTCAATGCTTCCAGGCTTTTTATGATGATCTAGTTTCAATTGACTCATGAATTCAACCATTAAAATTAAAATAGAATATCCGTAAAACCCTCTCTGATTATACTCTTTTTTTGTTTTCAAAAAATAATTATTAGCCTGAATATTTTCCTTTTCTATCATCCAATACAACAATTGAACTATCTCAATTATCAACAATTTCACGATTACGTACAACATTTTATGCTTCAATTTCACGTTTATTAATGGTTGAATTAGGTGAAGATGATGAAAAATTTCTAAATTTTGTATCTCCATTAACAAGAGTTACAAATCAATTAATTATAGCATTATTATTTGGAGGTTAGTAATCTTTAATTGAATTAAATATACCGTTATATGGTAATTAAGTGAATAACACAATGATGTATAAAGTAAATGGTATCATTTTATTTATTTAATTCAACACATATTTGTACAGAGGCACCGAATACATATGCGCCACACAAATCTCATTCCATATGTATGAGGGCTGTGATACTGCCCGGGTGCCCAAACCGAAACACGTGGTTTTCTTAGGGGGCCACACCCCGAGCCTTCGACCTGAGGGTCTGATCCACAAGGCAGTGGAGCATCGTAAGGAGATGCAGTCCCATGGAAGCCGGTGACCAACAATTGGTTCATACGCCATTTGTTCCCGCAGGATACTGGAGCCCATGTGCACCTTTGATTTGGAATCCGGTTAAAGCGCCGGACATTCGCTTTTCGTCCTCTCATTTTCGTAAACAACACCCCGGCCACGAGAAGGCAGTGAGTAGGACTTCCCTGGCAGAGGCTATATACCTGTGGCCATGTGAGAGCATTTCGAGAGGGAGAGCGGACTCTCCCTACTCTCGGCCGTACCAGGGCATTTGGGGGTATTAACTCAAGGGTATATCTAGTTGACTACTCTCCATTAAGATATATAGATATATATTTATATAAGAATATCTCTATTAACCATTTGTTTAGAGGAGTTACTGATTCACTAATTTGTAATTCAGTCAATTTCTAATTGTATTATTGGCTTCTTGATTAGATATTTTGACTATGATTTAATGAGTAAGTTGATTAAATATAAGGATTGGTAAAAATACAAGCCCTCAATAATAATATCACACTCGTTGAACAAGTCAGTATCTATTATAATGAATAGCATAGTCATATTTGTAACCATTAGTGAACATCAACTGTTAGAGGAGGTATTCTGAAATTATTATTATTATTATTACTATTGTTATTTAAACATATAAACATTGGTCCCGACCGTTTCTGCTACCTTGACGTGATGGTCGGGTTTGCCTATCGTGATGAAGCAACCGAGCTATACTGGGTGGAACAACCGTTCCTCAAGGTCCTACCATGTCAGACAGGTCGGTTGAAGAGCGGTAAGACTAAAAGCAACAAACCTAAGGTCCGAAGGCGAAGTCGTACTGCTGACTGTATAGAGGTGTGACAGCAGTAAGGTGTTTCCTTTAGACAACCAGCATGACAGCGATGCTGCCTTCCCACAAGGAGGGGTGGGTTTAGAAAAGGTCGACCCTAAAAATGCACACCTCGCCTTATCCCACAGATATCCGTCTCCGGCGATAAGGTCTCAATAAGTACGGAGCTAACACAAAAATTACCCATAAACAGGTCGTGTGTGACCGACCTCAAGCAGTTGTCCCTTGGGGACTGCGGTCACGCTCTAAGGTCACTAAGAATACCTTTAATCCAATTTCCTTTTCAGGTACCTTCAGAACTACCCTTCCACGGTGTGGGCAACTGGGAAGTGATTACCTCCCTCATACCTCTAACAGCACTCAAGACTGACTGACTGATATAAACATTGGTATAAGTGGATACCAAATATATATGCGCCACGCTTCGTCATTCGATTCATGTGAAGGATGGAATACTATCCATTTATTCAAACCGATGCAAGAATATTCTTAAATCTATTACTAGGCACTATTTAAAAAATTTAATTTATTCTTCGAGAATAACTAGGAGAATAGCTCCATTTTGTTTTATACATCTTATCAATTGTATATTATCTTTATTGAAAACATCATAATCATTCAATATACAATTCTCTGTTAATTTACAAAGGAAAAAAAATAATCTATGCTTTCAAATTTCACATCATCAACTGACTCTTATTAGATAAATATTGAAAACCAGAAAACAATGAATATCAATAACTGTCTACTTCTAATGTTAAGATTATTCAAGAGTTGCTTATCTATAATACACTTTACTAAACTATCAAATTGTTGAAGCTTCAGATATCACATTAAGTAAGCGCTAAACAATAAATCCTCGAGAAATAAAAAATAATAGATTTATAGATATCCCTTAGTTATATATAATATACTCTTGTGGGTCAGGGTAATTTTACATTTACATCAGGAGAACCAGGCAACATGCAGACTTTCATGTGACAACCCAAACAGTACAGTTCAATCCCGTTTAACAAGAGAGCCAGACACCGCCCAGGCTTCAATTTTGTAACTCAAGCAGTACAGCCCAATCCAGATTCACAGGACACCATATAGGCTTTAACGCTACAATCTGAATAGTACAGTTCAAACCTGTGGTGCAACCACACAGTTACCAAGCACCCTGGTAAACCATTCACACCATTCATATACACATTCACGTCATATGTATAGTTATTCCGATCATTGGTCACGTGAATCAATTATGCACAGCACAAACAGGCCAAAGTTGACCTATTCCGCTTACACGACAGTCAAACTCATTAATGTTAACAATGGCGACAAGTATTACAATGTCCCAATGACAATGGCTCTTGAGAACACTGAAAAGCAACCACCAATATGAATGAAATCGGTTAACCGGCAAATGTGCCAAAGTAATGCCGAACCATCCACAGTATCAATGGCGAACCTCCAGTCTCACATGAGACCTTCAGTTCTACATAGCAATATAGCTTATACTGCATAGGACACATATTTAGGTTAGTAAACGAAATAGCCCAGCCTGAAGCGTTAGGGCTTAAACAACGCCTAAAACCCATTGTCTGATGTCGGAATACCATTATAGGACCACCAAGATCATTTTTATCGAATTTGTGAAATTTTCATTTTTCCGACTTTTCAGACCCTACTACCTGAGTTAGGAGTAGTATCCCTGATAAAATCATCCAAACACTAAAGTTCTCAAAATAATATCTCAGTTCACTCATTCAAAACTCAGTAGCTGAGTAGACAACGCGACGTCGTTTGAAGAGAACGGTACTGGGTTCAAGTCTCAGAGTGAACATCAACTCTGAGATGCAGGTACATCCAGCTGACGAGTCCCAACTAGGACGAAACGCTCATCCTGAATTCCACTGCTAGCCATTATCCATCATTGCTTACAAATTTCATAACTCAGTCTAAGTCACTTCTTCAGAGCAAATAAATGTCCTCTAATTTTTTTTATTTATTTCGTTTTAATTATCATAATTGTTCGGCTTTTTTTTCTTTTCTCTTTTTTTTTCTCTCTTCATCAATTCTATATAAGATTCATCTAATTTCAATGAAAAATTAATGAAAATATCAATTATTGGTTTAGCCCGAGATATACGTGGTATATTATATAGTTTAAATAATAAAACATCATATCAAATGTTAATGAATTGGATTTATCCAAATGGTTTATTATTATTTAATCGTGTATTAGAACTATGGCCATATGATTATACAATAACAATACCAATATTAAAAACAATTACAGAATTAATTAATAATCGTAATGGACGTTTATTATATGATATAACTATACCAACTGGTTATTTATTGTTTACATATGTTAGTAAACTTTTATGTAATTTTGGTATGTTATTTGTAATGATTTTCTTTCTTTCTTTTTTTGTTTATTTATTTATTTATTTCAAGAGTTGAGATCATGGGTCAATTGAAGTTAGATCACCGTGGAAAACCTGGAAGCACCGAACAGCCGTTTCGTCCTATTGTGGGACTCCTCAACAGTGCGCATCCACGACCCCGCCTCGCGGGATTCGAACCGGGTCAGTTGTGAGGTAGTAACTCACTGATGACAATGGTGGATGTCTGGCTCAATTTCGTGGATTAGTTGAAGTTAGACATTCACACCGTTGGATGCCGGCTGGTCGGCTCAATGGTCTAGTTGGTTAAATGTCTGGCGCGAGACTGGTAGGTCCTGGGTTCGAACCTCACCTAATGCGGGATCCTGGGTGTGCACTACTGAGGAGTCCCATACTAGGACGAAACGGCCGTCCAGTGCTTCCAGGTTTTCTATGGTGGCCTAGCTTTAATTGACTCATGATCTCAACTCTTGAAATTACTACAATCTCCACAAAACCCCTTCTGATATTTATTTATTTATTGTTGTTACTTTTTCTTTTCATTTCAGTAATTGTAAAATGATTTTACACAAAGATAAATGACAACAGTGATAAGTACTAAATTCATTGTGTATTGTTTTGCTTAAATCTTTCCATTAATGTTTAAGATTACAATTGATCAGTCTCTTGTTGGTGTATGTACATCCTGTGTGTATTGCCTCGATATTGCTTTAATTCACAGGGATTATAAACAAAGATAAATGATGGCTAGCAATAGAATCCAGGATGCGCATTTGGTTCTATTTGGAACTTGTCTGATGGATATACATGCATTCTAGAATTGATGTTCACTCTAGGACTGGAATCCACTACCGTCTATTTTTGCTTATAATACTTGTGAATTAAAGCAATTCGCATAGGATGTATATATATGCCAACAAGAGACTGATCAATTGCAGTGCTAAATATCAATGGGAAGATTCAAATAAACAATACAAACTGAATTTAAACTTCACCCCATTTCACAAGCTGGTGACTATCAGGACTCAGTAGGTAAGTGGATAATGCGATGGCGTTTGAAGCGAATGGTACTGGGTTCGAGTCCCAGACTAAACATTAACTTTGGTATGCGTATTTATATCCATCCGAGATGAGACGCGCTTCCTGGATTCCACTGTTAGCTACCATCCATCTTTGCTTATATTAGTTTTAAGTGTTTTTTATATCTAGATTTTTATTTAGTCTTATCTGCAGAGTTGCCTTACCCTGTAAAAATATCCATGAATAAATGAGACTCTGTCAGATGTTTGAAAACAGCAATGAAATGACCATGGGAACAAAAATTATTCAATGAATAATTAGTTTAAAATAAACTGTACATATATATATTAAACACAACTGTCTATTAAACAGTGAATGGGTTACAACCATTCACATCATCATGATTTTCTTTGGTTTTATATATGAAAATATTACATAAATCATTATTCTTTAAAGTAATTTATTAGTTACTTCATTGTTTAATCAAGATACTGGACAATGTTAATGTAGTTGTCGATTCAAATCCCGTAGTGGTAGAGGTAGTGAAAGTATAAGCAGTAATCCGAAAGATTAGGGTTTGAAGATGTTATTCAAGGTGTATAATCTAGTGAAATAAATTTGGAAAGAGAAAAAAAGGGACATGAAGAATTTGTACGAACACAAAGAGTGGATGCACCTACGTTATTGCAAACTATTTTGAGCCATGTCATTCAAGGTCTCTAACCATCGGTTGCTATCGTCTCGGGGATCCCAACCAGATAATCTACACCTACCAACATGACTCAGTTCATTTGTCAGGGATTTCATGGATTTGTGTCATGTTTTGTTCTGGCCACCCCTAGCTTTCTTCCAACCTACTCCTATACCACAAAACATCACACCTCAGGGCAGTCGGTGGTGAGGCATATGTAACCCATGTCCCATCCATCTCACTACTTCATCAATTGATTTGTCATCCTTATCTAGTACCCGTTTCCTAACAATTGCATTACTTACTCAGTGGTCCCAGGATATACGAGCAATGCTTCGAAGACACCTATGATCAAATGCTAGTAGTCTACGAATATCCTCTACTCTTACCGGTCCCGTTTTACTGCCATAAAGTAAGACGGAACGAACTTCATTATTTACATAATTCTTTCTAAGCACAGTAAATGTTTAACATACAAACAGAGAAATGTCATAATTATCACCATTAGAAGTTTATAAAGACTATTTATTTCAAGGATAATGAATATATCATCAAATGAATAGTTACTTCGTTCTAATATAGGATTCTTGTACAATAAAATTAAAATGTTACCTGTTGACTTCTGATTTCCGACAGTGTTCATCGATTAACACCACTGATGACAAGTATCATATTTAGACTAAACCACAACTTGTCTAAATAAAATCACTCCTACAGCAATTTGGAAGACTCTCCCACATTGTATAAGCATTCCATGTACCTAAATAAATGGTTGCTCTGGTTGTCAAAAGGGACATCAGCCTCGTGACTTCCGAAGGAACTCGGCTTTCATCATGAGTTGTCATAACTTTTAAATGGAAGACCTTCTGACTCCCAGGGCAGATTTTAAATGGTTTGAATAATTTTCTCTGGTTAGCGCTTTTTTAGCTAGTTATTTTTCTACGGGATGGAGTCGATAACCTCATGCCTAACCCTCCTTTATCCGGACTTGGGATCGACAGTAGCCTCCGGAGGGGCTCCAAGCTTTTAGACTTCATTTATAATCCAAGTATTTCATATTTAAAATAAACTTTGTTTTGTTTTTCTTTATTTTTTTTCTCAATTTTTATAAAAGGTCTTCAATTACTCTCTAATCCATGTCAAATCCCAAAAAATTCATTATATGAAATTAAATTAAAACCAATTATGACATCATTGAATTTATTAAAAATATGTCTTTCTGGTAATTTGGTTAATTTTGGTGTATTCAATATGTTTCATGATGATTCATTGGAAAGAGTAATGGAAATGAGTATTCAATTATTATTATCATTAAGTAATACTGAATTACATGTAAGATTCTGTTATTGTTATGGTGTGTACGTGTTTTTTTCTTTCAATGTTTCATGTTTCATGAGTAAATAGTTCATATATAGATTAATTAGCCCGGCTAGCTCAGTCGGTAGAACATGAGACTCTTAATCTCGCCCCCAAATGCCCTGGTATAGCCGAGAGTGGGGTGGGCCTGTCCTCCCTCTCGAAATGCTCTCACACGGCCACGCGTATACAACCTCTGCCAGGGAAGTCCTACTCACTGCCTTCTCGTGGCGGGGGTGTTGTTTACAAAATTGAGAGGACGAAAGGCGAATGTCCGGAGCTTTAACCGGATTCCAAACCAGTGGTGCACATGGGCTCCAGTATCCTGTGGGAACAAATGGCGAATGAACCAATTGTTGGTCAACGGCTTCCATGAGACTGCATCTCCTTACGATGCTCCACTGCCTTGTGGATCAGACCTTTAGGTCAAAGGTTCGGGGTGTGGTCCCTAAGAAAACCATCTGGTTCGGTCTCGGCACCCGGGCAGTATCACAGCCCCCACACAAATCGAATGATTTATATGGCGCATTTGTATTTGGTACCTCCTTGTATCAATGTTTACGTGTCTAAATAAAATAAATAAGATTATTAATTGTAATCTCTACTAGATATTATACATTCACTCAATTCTAATATCATAAGTAAAACAACGAATAAGCTAATCAGTAAAACACCCTCTGTATAACTCTTTATGATTAATTATATTGAAACCATTGAACTTTTCTTCCCACTTTATTTGATATATTTCGCTACATATAGCCTCATCATTTTATCAGTCTCTTCGATAAACTCTAACTATTACTTACTTACTTATGCCTGTTACCCTCAATGGAGCACAGGTCGCCGAATAGTATTCTCCAACTCACTCTGTCCTAGCTCTTCCTTTCCAGTTCTGTCCAATTGTTATCCATTGTTCTCATATCTGTCTCCGTTTCTCGGTGTAATGTGTTCTTTGATCTTTCTCTTCTCTTTTGGCTTTAAGGATTCCATGTGAGGGCTTACCTTGTGCCGCAGTTGGGTGCTTTCCTCAATGTGTGTCCTATCCATTTCCAACACTTCTTCTTGATTTCTTCCTCCGTTGGAATCTGGTTTGTTCTCTCCCGCAGTAGGTTGTTGCTGATAGTACCTGACTAACGGATCCGAAGTATTTCGCGTAGACAACTGTTAATAAACACTTGTATCTTGTGGATGATGGCTTTCGTAGTTCTTCAAGTTTCCGTCCCACACAGTAGAACTGTCTTAACATTTATGTCGAAAATCCTGACTTTGGTGACGGTTGACAATTGTTTTGAGTTCCAGATGTTCTTCAATCTTAGTATATGTTTGCCCTAACTATTAACTAAATCTTAATACCAAAGTTATACTAGTCTAAAATTATTATTTCAAGCATATCTATGTAAAGCCAATTTTTGTTAGTATTTAGCCTTAAGTATTTCCACTTTTAGATCTACACGATTGCTTTACTTACTTACGCATGTTATCCCTCGTGGAGCATGTGATTCTTACCAGAGTTCTCCAAACTACTCTGTCCCGGACTCTCCTTTCCAGAACTTGTTTATTTTTTGATGGAGTTTGATTATTTCCGTAATGTATATCCTACTCACCTTTTGCGTCTTTTCTTCATTTTCTCTAGCTGTAAGTTGGCTTGTTCTCTCCCACCATAGGTTGTTCCTGATGATATTAGACCAACAGATATAGAATATCTTTTGTAGATATGATAAATTATTATAAATGTAGCTCGCTAGATTTTATTTGTTTCATTAACATGTTAATTCCTAGATGATTTATCAGCTCTATAATATAATTATTTCAAAATAGTGAAATGTTCATCTTTTTAGCTTAAAAGTTCAGAGTTTTTTTTTCTTAATTGAAGTTTTGTCAATCAGTCAGTCATCTATAACGTAGGACCATGCACATATATTCATCGGTCCAAGTTGCCATAATTGAAGTCTTGAATAACTTTTAATTGATAAAAGTATCAGACAGTTGTCCAATACTTACTGATATATGACTTCACGGCGAGACTCTAATTTATGGACGAGCCAATCTGAGGCGTTTGAGGGATTTCAAGATCACGGCACCAATTTCAGTACCTGGTGCTCACGTACGATCGGTTTACAGCAGATTTTAGAGACGACGTGATAATTGAGCGACTTCAACAGATGGGACTACTAAGAAGTTTCTTTATTTGTGACTGCGGTAATGAAATGACTACATTACCATGTTCAGACTATTGTGATGATATTGTCTTTCGATGTTCTTTATGCTGAAGAAAGAAGTCTGCTCGAACCGGTACTTTCTTCGCTCGATCGCGATTGAGACTGAGACAAATCATGATAGTTGTCGCTAATTGGATAATAAAAGCACCAGTAACACTGGCTGCAGCATTTGCAGACTGAGACTTCAGCTGTCCAATGGTATGAGTATTTCCGGGATATATGTGCAATTAAAATGACACGTTTACACGAGTCGTACGGAGGAGTTGGGAATATTGTTGAAATAGATGAAACGGCAGTACAGAAGCGAAAATATAACAGTGAACGTAATATTAAGGAAGACTGGGCAAGTAGCACTTCTGTAAATATACCTCAGGTATTTGGAATTTACGATCGATCAACGCAAAAGGGACATTTTCGAAGGGTCAGAAACCGGTAAGCAAGCACAATAATACCAATTATACAGGAGTATGTGCAGCTGGGCACTACGATATATACAGATGATTGGTGAGCGTATAGATGCCTACATAAACTTGGGTATGTGCATCATGTCGTAGTGCACAAGCGCCATTTTGTCGACTCTACAACCGGCGTTCACATTATCAATATTGAAACCATGTGGTCAAGACTAAAGGCTTTTTTAAGACCGTATCACACCTTCAGAGGTCAACTATTATAGAGCCATATGGATGGGTTTCTATACCGTATGCACTATGATTTCAGAACCTCTGAATCTCTATCAAACCTTAATAAGTTTTTGAATCATGTAAAAGAAGAATATCCACTTAAATTCCTTAGTATTTTTTAAAATAATATTTTCATTTTATACTAACTGTCTTCTGATGGGCTAATAATTATCAAGTTCACTTAAGATTCGTTCAAAGGTTGTCCATACATTTAGAGTCTCACCCTTGTTTCATCTAGTTTAGGACTTTTCAGCTAGATATTTCAACTCATCTATTCTAAAGAACATATAGCCTAATGGTTATAGTAAAACAATATTTACATGATATAGGTATACGGTTAATAATGGATAAATAAAGTTCAACCCTTGAATATTAACAACAGAATAATTAAAAACCTTTACTAATCATAATATAAATACTTTATTATATCATTATTTAGTTCATTTTACATAATATATTGTTTTACTATTCCCTTTTTCTTTTCTTCTTTTAAAGGATTATCCAAAATTAGCATTGTGTCATTTTGGATTATTGGAACATATGCTCAATGAGCATATTATTTTTGTTGCTTCATTGGGTACACCAATTTTATTGCATTTTTTAGAAACTATAGCAAATAATATAATTTCATTAGGTGGGTAAGCTAAGTGTACTATGTTTCTTTTCTTAATTATTATTGATCTATATACAATGTATGTGATAGTTAACATTGTATGTTAAATATTGATACCGTCAGTTTGTTCATGTTTTCCCACTTGTCTGCATCATAGGTTTAAATGTAAGGTAGGTATCTTTTGGTTGGATTCATTATGAAATAAAGAAGTAGTCATGTCAGATTTAATGTTATTAGCAATTGGTGAGGTAATAAATTCCTATCAATTAATTTGTTTGGATTACCTTGAAATCATGAACCGATCTATGTTAGACCATATTGGAAACTGGAAACATTAGACTGCCATTTTATCATATTATATGCGACTCCTCAACAGTGCACATCCACGATCCTACACATGGCATTTGAATCAAGTACCTTCCGTCTCGAGTGTGAACGCTTAACCTCTAGGTGTTTTATCCAGCATACAACGGTGTTAATGTTTAACTTCAATCAATCCAAGATATTGCGCGACCACCTATTGTCTTCGGTGAGTAACTGCCTCAAATCTGGCATAATTGAACTCCACATGTCACTGCTTCTTAATAGAATTCCAATTCACAATTTCTATGAAATCCAATAATTTCCACAACCATATACTGATAATTATCATGAGTTCACTATTTATTAGCATCGGTCGGAAATTTCTAGTTATGGTATGGATTGATTGAACTTAGACATTAACAACATTGTATGCTAGATCAGTTGTCTAGATGTCGAACGTCCATGATCGATGTCGAAGCTGCTGGGTTCGATCCCCTTTGATGGGGTGTTGTGGATGCCTACAGTTGAGAAGTCCCATATTAGAACGAAACGGTTATCTTTTACTTAAAGTGGTGGTCCAACTTAGATCGGTTGGTGGTTTCAATGAAATTAAATCATCTCCACAACCCCATGCTAATAATTGGGTTGGGTTGTTTTTTTTATTAACATCATCCTACATAACAATGGGAAGATACAAGTAAAACACCAAGTGAATTTAAAGCTCACCCGATCGCACAAGCAGGTATCTATCAGGACACAGTAGGTAAGTGGATAACGCGATATCGTTTGAAGGGAACGGTACTGTGTTCGAGTCTCAGAGTGAACATCAACTTTGGGACGCAGGTACATCCAGCTGACGAGTCCCAAATAGGACGAAGTGACGCGCATCCTGGATTCTACTACTAGTCATTATCCATCTTTGTTTATAATGCATGTGAATTAAGGCAATATCGATGCAATACGCACAGGATGCACATCTGCCAACAAGAGACTGATCAATTTCAGTCCTAAATAACATTGGGAAGATACAAGTAGAAACAACACAATGTGAATTTCAAATCATCACTTGTTTTTAATATTCATCTTTACTTGAAGTAAATCATCATAAATTCATTCAATTTATTAACGAAATTCAAATTTATCTACTTAGATTTTAGTCAGTATTTGTGTGATAGACATGATGTCCATAATTCTTACATATCTAGAATACTTTAATAATAATTACATTTACTGAAGGCATTACATTAAGGGAAACACAATTTATTGTCAATATGATCATTTGAAAGCTATAGATATACATATTGGATCATTACATAAAGTATACTTTGTATTGAAAACAATTAGTCATGGATTATCTGCACTGCTGAGAAGTTCCATACTGTGATGAAATGGTCGTCCAATGGTTCCAGGTTTTCAATAGTGGTCTAGCTAAAATGAGCTCGTGATTTAAACAGAAAATATTTGCTTATTCAGTTTTCCCATTTAAAACAATTAGTCCCTTCGATAAATCTCAATAATGCAATGAGAAGACGAAGTTTATCAGAATTATGTGATATATTTGCGCAATACATTTCGAACAATCTGATCACACATAATATACCTGTTAAGAACACTTATATATGAAAATTAAAAAGGTCAACTAGACAGGTTAAAGGTACTCCATAACAAGGATGGTCGCGCAACTTCGTGGATTGGTTGAGGTTAGACATTAACACCATTGGATGCCGGCTCAGTGGTCCAGTAGGTTAGGCGTTCGCGCGCGAGACTTAGGGCCCTGGGTTCGAGTCCCGCGAGCGGGATCGTGGATGCGCACTGCTGAGTAGTCCCACAATAGGACGAAACGGTCGTCCAGTGCTTCCAGGTTTTCAATGGTGGTGTAACATCAATCGGTTCATGATCTCAATCAAAAAAATAATATTTAAGTACACAAAAACAATGTGACAACCACTCTGGATAATAAATCAGTATTACCAGGGTAGGTTAAGGGTTAGAATAAATTGTTTTTTGGAACACATAAAGAGGGTTTCACGTTCCGTATGGCCAATGTCTCAATAAACCATAGTATACATCCTTGAAGGCTTTTGTATAATACTACAATTGTTGACTTGATGTCAATCTTATAACCAGTCTTTGTATTTAATTTTTTTTCTAGATTCTGGTATCAGTGAAGTTTGTTGTGTATGTTTAGATTATTTTTCAACTCATCTATTTAAAATTGTCCAACGTGAACAACGTTCAAATCGTACAACTGATGATAATAATTATAATAATAATTCATTATATCTAATTGATGTAAACAATTCGAATTTAGTGAATGGAGACAATCATAATAATAGTAATGATAATAATAATAATAATACTAGTCATTTATTCGTACCACATATAGTATTAGATCAAAGAGGTGCATCCAATCATGCTGTATGGTCTACACGTACTACATCAGCAACATCAAATCTATTGAATTTATTAATGCCAACAACATCAAATTCACAAAATGTAGAAATGATTTCAGGTGTAAATCTACTTCGACGTATACTTATTACATTACTTAGTTCAGTAATACAAGAAGAATGTCGTTCTCAATGGTCTATGTCTAGACCATTATTACCTTTAATTTTATTAAATCAACAAGTATGTAATAGTTTATTTATTGATCTATTTTTTTCTTCTATTTATTCATTGTTATTTTGATTATTTTTTTGTTTGTAACCGATAGATCTTTACAATTCCATTTCAAAGATTGAAATCATGAGTCAATTGAAGCTAGACGACTATGGATAACCTGGATCGTGGATGCGCACTGCTGAGGAGTCCCATACTAAGACGAAGCGGCCGTACAGTGCTTCCAGGTTTTCCATGGTGGTCTAGATTCACTTGACTTATGATTTCAACCAGTGAAATTTATAAAATCTCCACAAACCCCTTCTGATAATTCCATTTTAGTGAATGAAGTTGAGACACATTATCCTTAGACTATATCATTATTCATGCTTGTACGCAACTAAGGCGATGATACGTCTCTGAGACAGCAAAATAAATAAGTCTCATAATTATTCATCAATCGATATGATATTTTCTAATAGTGTTTAACTTAAAGCATATGTAGTCGAATCTTACTTACGCCTGTTACTCCCAATGGAGCATAGGCTGCCGACCAACATTCTCCAACCCATTCTGTCCCGACCGAAGCTGCTACCTTGACGCGGTGGTTTTACTTTTTGTACGTTTTATGTGCTTTAAACTAAATAACCATTGAGGGACTAATCTACCATGAGTAAACGTAACTCAAATCAAGAACGTATAATTCGCCTGATTAGCTGTGACAGGCGGTGTCCGGAAAATGATACTGACACATAATTTGTTACGCGCTAATCCCCCAACTGGCTACTTGAGTGAGAATACAATGGTGAACTAGAAAGTATATTGGGCTACCGAGTATAATGCACAAATACTCATTTTTATATGTACCACTCTAACCCCTAGGAATTTGGTCCAATTTGAGCCAATAAATTGCACTTGTACTCTGGGTCATTTCTGACTGCCATCAATTGACCTTCTCATTAGGCTACTTCTGATTGGTTTACCACATCACGTGGATTAATCAACAATCCAGTAAATGTAAAAGATAGGAAGATAAGAAACATCAAGTACCTATCAGATTATCTACTACCCAATCCTTATTTATTTGTTTGAACACGTAAATATTGGTACAAGTGGGCACCAAATACATATGCACCACTCAGTAACAATGAGACCAGCAACAGTTATCATAAGTTTGTGTAAGGGATAGGATACCACCCGGTCGCTCTAACCAAAGCAGGTGGTTTCCTTATGGGGCCAGTCCCAGAGACTTTGAACTAAATGTCTATTCCATAAGGCAGTGAAACAACTTTACGAGATGCAGTCCTATGGTTACCTCAGTATCCTGGAGCCTGTGTACACCAATGGTTTGTAGTCAGGTTTTCCCAACTCCCTAGGTGGACTCTCTGTGTCCACCAACCCGTTTAAAGCGCCGGACATCTGATTTTCGTCCACTCGACTTCGCAAACAACACTATTTCCACGAGGAGGCAGAGAGTAGGACTCCCCTGTCACTGGTCGTATATACGTGACTCTGTGAGAACATTTCGAGAGGAAGAGTGGACTCTCCGCACTCTCGGCCGTACCAGGACATTTGGTCGCCACTACCCAATCCGATAACATTGTCCACTTTCGCCTACGCAACAAGAACTTAAGATTAGGTGTTTGAATTTTTATGACCAATTAACATCAACTACAATGGAACAATCCTAAAATCATATCCTAATTCCTAACATAATAAGTCATTTGATTACATCTGCCATCTCCTGATTTGCCAATTTGGTTAACAGCCCAAGATCGTTTTGCTGTATACTCTGAACTTACCTTTAAAAGTTAAAAATACTGATTCTACCATAATATTCAATAGTTTCATCCTACCTATTGTTGATGTAGTTCATCGTGTTGTGTCTCAGAACACTAAAGTCACTAATCAGAATTCTAATTTTGTCTATTCCAGGTCTACTACTTCTACTAAGGCTTAGTGTCGCTGAATTGCCTGATCAGCACTTCTGACCTTGATTCGATACAGCTAAACTCATATTGGTCTGTTGCTCGCACGTTTTTCTTTATGGCCCTGCCTTGAGTTTAAAAAGTCATCAACCAGCTGTTATTATTATATTTCAAACATATATGGGTTTATATGCAAACATACTGGACTGCATCTCACCGTAATGCGAAAAAACAAAATCATACACAAAGGAGTCAAAAGTGGCTGCGAATAGTCGATCAGTAATAAAACAGGAATCATAAGCAGTGTAATCACAGTTAATAAGTTAAACAGAAGCTTATCTCGTTCCACTTTAGCACATTGATATCATTTGTCTCTTTTTATTATTTAGTACCACTTGTTTAAAATAACTCCTACTATATCCCTCCCTCATATTATTTTGTAGTACTATACGGAATTAAAAAATCGTATAATTAAAGAACTACCAGAAGAAAAACAAGAATCTGCAACAAAACTCTTTGATAAATTAATGGAGGATGTTGAATGTAATTTGACTATTAAGAATCGTGACACGTAAGTTTAATAACAATATAAAAGTTTTACATTTGTCTTTCCAAATGAAATACTCCTTATTCGGTAACAAAACAGTCCCATTCGTTCATTTTACAAACAATTACGAACTATCTTCGGTAATTAATTCTGTATATTCTTCAATGTTCATTTCTAGCTAGCACACATAAGTTCATTTCGTGGATAGGATCGCCATAGCACAGTTAATTGTTTCATTTCCAACTATTTTACCATTAAATATGTGGCACAGTAAATAACCTTGTTATCGTATCCTTGATACAAAGTTTACAACAATATTTCGCCCTTGCCAGTCAGCTGCAACGTAAAACCTGATACGCATATACATCGGTTTAAGTTGCTACACCTAATTAGCACGGACGTAAAATTATTAGAACAAGTCCCAGAGTAGCAGTGTTAGTGATAATAGAAAGGATTAGGAATCAAAGATACGATTCAAGAAAATATAAATTAGTAGAATACAGAAAATTTGTGAGGAACTCAAAAGCGTAAAATTTGGAGGAAGACAAAGAGTGGATTCACCTATACTATTACAAACGATTTTAAGCCGTTATTCATTCAGTAACTGGTTACTCGGAATTCAACCAGGTAGTGTACACCTTTTTAAATGACTTAGTCCAACTCCATATGACTTCACGAACTGACGTCATATCACAGTTTAGCGACCTGTAACTTTCTTCCAACCTGCTCCTCCATTAGTCAACATCGCGCATCGAAGTAATCATCTGATGGGTATTGGTATTACATGTCTTAACCGTCTCGGTCCATAAGGGTTAATTACCTCGCTAATCGATCGATGAATACTAATTTTTCTGGACGCTGGAAAGTATTTTTGTTCTAAAAGAAGTCAGTTGTTCGAAACGTAAAAGCCCCAACATGTAGTTTAGAGCTTGGTTTCAGAAGACCAAGAATAACACTTCGTGAACTCAAATCATCAGTACTAGTAGCGCGTGGTAATAAAGATGTGTGAGAAGGGTTAATTATTAAGAGGTGAGAAGTTTTGTTGGATGTAGTAGGGTGGTTGTCACTTCCCGGCTGCTCATACCGTGGAGGAACTTGTAAAGGTTAACCAGTGCTGACTATAGGGGCCTGAGAGCGTAACCACCAACTCAAAAGCACAATTACTTGATCTATCAACTATTCATAGTGAAGACTAATTGCCAACCAGAGTGGCGACATAAAACTTCCCCCACATCCTAAACGCTGTTTCAAAACTCTTTGTGCTACCAAAGCTCGTTTCCATCGCTTAAGAATCTCGTGGTTTATTCATTAAAACCTCCCTATCTATTAGCTAAATATACACTATCGTTTCCTGATGATATAAGCATATTTTGGGATTTTCCGACTAATCTTCGAAGCTAATAGTTACTCTTTAGGCTTATTTGTATTACATATAAGTAACCATAATAACACTTAAAGGTCAGTTTCAAATTCTTGTCGATTCACTCTGAAACAAAACGTCATACAACAATGACACGGTTCCTATGGTGGCAAAATATGTGGTGTCACCGGTTGAACTTATCACAGATAAACTTTAAAGTAGTTATAAGTGCTGTATTCATACGCTTTTTATGGTTAAGATCAACAGGATATGCATGGTGTCAATGAACTCTATTAATTTTGATTTCAGGTTCACTCAAAATTTATCTACCTTCAAGCATAGTTTGGGCGACTTCCTCAAAAAAACAAGCACAAAACCTGACGATACATTTAGTCAAGCAGAAGGCAACAACTACGAAACATATGTTTGTTTAGGTAGTGCGATAGCACAAGCAGGCGAACAGTTGCTGAATGCATAGGAACTCAAGATGAACTATTTTGTACAATATTTTGTAATTATTTAAATAAAATCCTTTAACGTCAAATGCAATTATTTGAACAATTGTAGCTACGTTGGTGCGATTTTTCTGAAATTAGTCTTTGCAATAGTTCTGGAATTCATCCAAAAATTTCAAATATAACTTGTGCTCTTCTGAAGTACAGAAGTTTTGCAATTCTTGTTGAAAGTCTGCGTCCAGTCCTCGTTCTACCAGCAATTGCATAGTATGATTATACATATCCTAAGATAAAAGAAAGGAGTCATCAAGCTAGGCAAGAGATGTTAAACAGTACTAATGAGCGTCACTTACGTCATCAAATAAATCAGTATACACGAAATAGCCTGGGATGCGTTCGATTTCAACTGAATCCACGGAATAAGTGGCTGTAAAGGGAAGAAATGTATTAGACTATAGAGCGAAAGATTATTGTCGAGACATTTACTTTGAGTATTCAAAAACCACCTTTGTTCCACGTAGACAATCTACAGATGCCGTCTGTCACTAACAACGAAGAACTTCGTACGTACGTACATCAGTTCGAGTTGCCATACCACATTAGCACAGAGATGCAGTTGTCGATTCAAATCCCATAGTGGTAGAGATAGTAAGAGTGTAAGCAGTAATCGGAAACATTAGGGTTTGCAGGTGTTATTTAAAGAGTATAGTCCAGTGAAATAAATTTGGAGGGACATGAAGAATTCAGAAGGTTAGAATTTGGGAGAACACAAAGAGTGTATGCACCTGCGCCATTGCAAACCATTTTGAGCCATGTCATTCAGGGTCTCTAACCATCGGTTGCTATCATCTCGCGGTCCCCAACCAGGTAGTCTACACCTACCAACATGACTCAGACCACTTGTCAGTGACTTCATGGACTTGTGCCATGTTTTGGTCTGGCCGCCCCTAGCTTTCTTCCAACCTACTCCTATACCATTGAGCATCGCACGTCGAGGCAGTCGGTGGTTGGGCATACGTAACACGTGTCCCAGCTATCTCAACTGATGAAGTTTCATTACTTCATCAATGGATTTGCCATCCTTACCTAGTACCCGTTTCCTAACAACTGCGTTACTTACTCGATGGTCCCAGGATATACGAGCAATGTTTCGAAGACACCTATGATCAAATACTTGTAGCCTACGAATATCTTCTACTCTTACCGGCCACGTTTCACTGCCATAAAGTGGGACGGAACAAACTGCTACGCAGTAAACACGTCCTTTGGTTGATAGACGGATATCTCGCCTACGCCATAAATGACGCAAGTTGGCAAGAGCTAGTCGAGCCTTCTGTATCCGTGCTGAGATCTCGTCACACACCAGACCACAAGGGCTGATGAGACTTCCAAGATAAGTGAAACGGCCGACACGCCCAACTACTTCACTCCCTATCACTAGTTCGGGTGTCGATGTAACCCAATCCTGAAGCAACATTTTGCATTTTGAGAGAGAATCGCATGCCGAACATGCTTACATTGTTGCTCAGAGTGGTCAGATCATACTTAAACGAAGAGAGTAACCTGGTTGTCAGTTTCTGACAAGCTCATTTACCCAGTCAGTCAGCTAAACCGGTGGTGTATGTATGACGTGAACTCAGTATGACTCAGGTGGCATGTTCTTTAAATTGGGTCAAATACTTTGTTCTTTAAAAATCACTAGATGTAAACTAAGCTATTTCAAGTGTGCTGAGCGTTATGCACATAACTAGACAACTCAACTAAAACACAACCTTATGAACACTGGATTCCACAATTGTCTAACGTAATTAATAGCGAGATAGCGGTCCGACTACCTACAAAAACTGCTGTATACGTTTAAGCTCAGTTTTCTGAACATACAGCTAACACAGGCTAGCTACCTTCTCTTATGAAACTTAGAACTGGTTCAGGTAAACGAAGATTCGGTGACTAGATTACAGATCAGGATCTCACCTTGCAACCACTGCTGTCTAAACCGCTACACTAAGAAGTTTTTATGGCATAAACCTTGTAACTTGTTGGATTTTATATGAAAATTTACCGAACGCTGACTAGACAAAAAAACACTTACGGAGATCAGTCGACTCATCTTCAGAAAGTTGTTTTTCAGCGTCATGGCCAGGAAGACTACAGTTGAAAACCAGACTTCGACCACTAGGTTTTGTGAGTTTAATACGCAAATCAGGATGAGCCTCCAAAGCAGTATCTTCTTCACTCTTTTCCGTAGTACTCATTTCATCCTCAGAAATACTAGGAGTAACACTACCAGCCAAATTAATCTCCACGTCGACGAAACTAAATCTAATATATTTAAGATAAATGTTGTTTACACTCCATCTTGATATTCTTTGCGTATAACGACTTCACATCCATTGGCTTTTACTACTTTAAACCCTTCAGGGGGATCGCAGAGGAAAGCATTTGCCTTTTCTTGTTTAATCTCATTAGTCAGAAACTGGTTGAGCTGACGGTCAACTAGAGCACATTCGTATATACAACCGGAAATCTTACCTTGAGATGAATTGAACCAAGTTGAAGTAGTAAGATGTTTAATAGTACTTGGTTTACTTAAGATCTGGGTTCCTTTACTTGCGAACGTTAAACGAGCACCAAACAAAACACGAGCAACAAGTCTAGACATTTCACGCCTAATTTGGAAGCTTAACTAAAACCTTAACCCTAAATCACTAAAACACTCTCAAAGACTCCAGTTTTCAACATTCAATTATTTTCAGTTTCTAGAGGAAAAAGGGCTAGAAAAGACTGCTTTTATCCTGAATATAGGGTTCTCTCGGTTGATTCAAGTTTTTATTAAGTGTGTTTGCAGATGGATCTTCAACCACTTCAGTAAAAAGGATAAGACATGAGGTCTGTCCACTTATAATAATCCTTTCAGTTTTTAACACCTTGTGTGTCCAATCTCGTTTTGAATATATCAACAGAAGGTGCTAATATTACGTGTTCTTGTAGAGAGTTCCAGCAATTCACTACTCAGTGCGACGAATGAAACTCCAGATGGAGACGATTTGATATTGGTTTTTAACTTGCTTCTCAAATGATGAGTCCTAGACGGAAGGAAAAGATAAGACATGTAGTGACTTACTTTTATCACGAGAGCAAGATTTGTTTAATGAAAACATTTATTATTATAACTAATTGTATCAGTGACTGTTTTAATGTGCTCTTTGTTTAACTGTGCTAAAAACATCCATTATACTTACTTTGATTGTGACCTCGCTCGGATCCGGTTACGCTCAATAACCAAGCTTGTATCCTGGCACGTCCTCGGTATTATTTCGTTACCACGAGATCGCCAGCAAATATGTCTCGACTTGGTCCATTAACTGCCTTCTGATATTTGACTTCCGGGGGTTTTATGGATATCCTGACACGCATTACTTAGTAGTGGTGTTCATAGTCTACCGCGACTCGACGCCTCACAACAGACATATTAGTACCAAAGTCATCGTTCAGTATACTATAAGCCAATATTAGATCACCCCGTATTCTACGGTAAGATAACAGAAATAAATTGAGTTGTCTCAGTCTGTCTACATAAGATAGGCCAGATAGACCTTTTACCATCTTAGTACCTTGTCATTGGACTCTTTCCAGCATATCTGTTTCATACTTGAAACAAGAACTCGCTGCTTGAATCCCATATTCCAAATGTAATCGCACGTATACCGAGTACAATAATTTAAACATTTCGTCATTTAAATATTGGTAAGACCTGCAAATACACCCTAACACCCTATAGCCTTTTGCAGAAGCAGTATCCTTACAGTGACTGGTGGTATTGAGATCACTGCTTAATATTACTCCTAAATCTTTATAGTTTCTTACTTTGGGTAACACGAATCCACATATTTTGTAGTGATACGAATCATTATGATTATTTAATTGCATCATTACACTCTTATTAGGATTTTCTTCTAGTGACCATCTGTCCAACCATGCCATCAATGATATAGGATCATCCTGTAATACTATTCTATCCGACATATTATGTATGGGTTTCCAAATTTTCCTGTCATCGGCTAGAAGTAGAGCGAATAACTTTGCTACAGTTGGTAATTCATCTACATAAAGTAAAACGAGAAGAGGACTGAGGGCCGTTTTTTAGAGAACTCCACTTTTTCCAAGTACCAACGTGAAGAGAGCTCCCTTCGCTCTTACCCTTTGTCTCCTGTCATGGATAAAGTGACTTATCCATCCTAAGACTGTATAATGGATTCCAAAACCTTCTAGTTTGAATTTAAGACCAGAATAGGAGATCTTATCGAAGGCTTTACATAGATCTATGAAGATCACATCCACAGGATTATTCCGATCTTTAGGCACAGCCCAATCTTCTCTTGCAATGAGATTTGTCAAACATGATAGGTCTCTCCGAAAACCATGTTGTTCCCTGGATAAAACATGGTTTATAACAGATATCGGAATGATATTTTCCATTAGTTTTACAACTGCACTAGTTAAGCTAACAGGTCTATAGTTACTGACTAAATCTCTACATACAGCCTCATACATTGGACTTATTATAGCGTTTTTCCAGTTTCTGTGCAGTCTGGACTGCCTCAGAGACATATCAAGCAGTATCGTTAGTGGTTCAGCATTTACGCCTGATATGGTTTCCATAATCCTAAGATGAATCTCATCAGGACCGCTAGACTTATCAGGTGTGAGACGCTAAAGTAGCCTTAAAACAGTAACTTTCTCAGTGACTACAAGGTCTATCAGCGAACCGCCACAATCACAATGAATCGTTGGTCGTTCCTCATTACTGATAGAAAACACTTTACAGAAATATTCCGATAAAGCTTCAGCTTCTGAGTTCGCCATTTTATACACGAGAATAACCATTTCAGACTACATCTGGAATCCCTAACCAACTGTTCTTCTAAGACGTTTCCTAACTGATTTAGTTATCCATGGTGGACTCTTATTCAGTCTTCGTGGTACCAGGTTTATAGATCCTTCCGTGGTCATATCAGTCCAACTAATATCAGGTGCGTTAAAGTCTCCTATTATCAAGCATCTGGTATTTTCACTCCCAAAATGAATG